AAATTTATTCATGGCCACTTCATACCTACTTGCACATCAGCTAATATTTTCCGTTATCTTATATAGTTATCTGTCTCTAGAATTTACGGAATCACAGAAACGTTTAGGTTGGAAAAGACCTCTGAGATCAAGTCCAACCTTTGACTGATCATCACCTTGTCAGCTAGGACTATGGGCCAGTTGTTTCTTGAACACCTCCAGGGATAGTGACTCCACCAGCTACCTGGGCAACAGTGCTTAAGTCTTCTTTCTGTTAAGGACGCTCCTGATGTCCAATCTGAACTTCCCCTGGTGCAGCTTGAGGCTATGCCCTCTTGTCCTGGTGCTGGTTGCCTGGGAGTTTGACTCAGATATAATATGACAGGGTAGCCACTCGTAAGTGTCCTTGATTTTACCAACAAACCTCTGAGATCAAGTCCAACCTTTGACTGATCATCACCTTGTCAGCTAGGACTATGGGCCAGTTGTTTCTTGAACACCTCCAGGGATAGTGACTCCACCAGCTACCTGGGCAGCAGTGCTTAAGTCCTCTTTCTGTTAAGGACTCTCCTGATGTCCAATCTGAACTTCCCGTGGTGCAGCTTGAGGCTATGCCCTCTTGTCCTGGTGCTGGTTACCTGGGAGTAGAGTTTGACTCAGATATAATATGACAGCATAGCCACTTGTAAGTGTCCTTGATTTTACCAACAGCTTCCAGAGTTTGTTTTTATTAGTCCCTCTGTGTAAGGGCTTGCTGTTGTCTGTTTTTAAATTGCATGCCAGTATCAATACCCACTTAAGGTCTTCCCACTCTTTTTCTATTATGTTTCAATCCTTTTCTGCATATATGATGCTACTTGGTCTTATCAGGAAATGTCATTAGCAAGGTTTTTGATATAAGTTTAATTATGGCAAATATCAAAGCATTTAAAAATGCAAAAGCTTTGACCAAAGACTCATTCTTTATGGTCTCCATTAGTAACCTTCTGATCCAATGGCTTTCCAGTCAGTGTAGACCACTGTTATCTCTGCCATCAACATATTTGGTTCCTTTCCAATCTTTTTTATCCTAACTGATATGGCACAGTATCAAAAGTCCATAACCATACAGCATAGTGTAAAAAGTTGACATAAACTTCCTGCATTTTCTTTATCTGTAAAAATTAGCTGTTTTATCGAAGAAAGATGTCAAGTAAGTTTGGTACAACCTACCTCTGGTGAACCAACACGATATCTTCTTTGATGATCATTTGTTTTCTTCTTTGTCTTTGAATTTTGCAAGAAAGAATAATTATTCTCAGTAGCATGCTGGCTTTTGATCAAATTCATAGATGTGACATATTCTTGATTGCTTTTTCTCCTTTTAAATATAGGCACTATGCTTGGATTTTTTCTGCTTTTGAGTTTATAGATTTATTAAAAATCCTTTCTGTTGCATCTTTTATCTCCTGTGCCCATTCTTTCAGAACACTGGGATGAAGGTGATCCAAATACTGCATTTTCAGCTTCCAGTTTCTGTTTTCAGCTGTGTAATTTGTCCTATATTTTAATGAGTTTGTGCAAGCTTGTTTTTTTTAACCTTTGGATAGATATTCAAGCTGTGCTCGCAGAATCATAGAATGTTTGAGATTGAAAGGGACCTCTGGAGGTCATCTGGTCTACCTTGCTCAAGTAGGGTCATGTAGAATCAGTGGCCCAGGGCCGTGGTCAGATGGTCATCTTCAAGGATAGAGAGAGATCTCACAGTCTCTCTGGGCAACCAGTGCCAATACTCAGTCACTCTCTAACCAGAAAAGTTCCTTGATGTTCAAAGGGGACCTCTTGTGTTTCAGTTTGTGCGCATTGCCTCTAGACCTGTTACGGGGCACCACTGAAGTGCCCATTTCTCTCCTCTTTGCACTCTTTCTTTGGATATGAGACCCACCCTGAGGATTCTCCAGGCTCAACAGTCCCAGCTCTCGCAGGCTCGCCTCATGTGTGAGATGCTCCTTCCTTCAGTTTCATCCAGACCATTGCTGAAATCCCAGAAAGTGATCCTTACTGGGTCAGAGCAGTTCTGGTAGAGGGGTTGTAGGTGGCTTTTGTTATTTTTTGTTTTAATTCTGTGTATTTAGGAGAAAGTTACTCAGAGTGCACAAATATATAATTTGACACATGCAACATGCCACCACCTTAGATTTTTTAAGGGCTTTTGCATATGTAGTGTTTGAAATACAAGGCTTTATATCAGAATTATGTACATGTACAATTGTGCAATACTGAATTAATTTCATTGGCATAAAATCTCCATTTTAAAAATTTTTAATTAGGAAATAAATATCTTCTCACTTGAGACATTGTTTTAATTAATTCATGAGTCTTGTGCCATTCCTACAACCAGTTCTGTCCATATTATTTACTTAATATTGCTATTCATTAGCTATTTCAGTACTAGTAGAAAACATGTTAAAGAATCGCTGGCTGTGTGTCATGATGGTTGTATCACTGTGGAATCTAATGTTTTATTCTAGATCTAGAGGTTCTGATCATTACTGTAACTCCAGACTTTTAAATTTGGGATTGTTTGGCCCAGTAGAAGTCCCAGACCAAACAATTCCGTACAAATCACTGCTTATGTAGGCATCAAACCAAGATGAGGGGCACGGAGGATGCATGTGATGTTCTGATCCACAGATTTCTGTAAGATTGGAAAGAGTTCCTAGGAAGAAGCACCACCATTTCCCAGCATGATACATTGTATACAGAGCAGCCTTTAGCTGATGTGTTCTCTATATGCCTGCAATAGTAAAACTTGTCTAAAATATGGTATTTCTTAGAATATTGGTGCATCCCTAAATGCTGAAATCCTTATCTGAGCCCTTGCAAACCATCTGTTTAAAAGGTTGAGCTTTTATCAAAACACTCAGTCACATATTTTCACAAATGCTTTTTTCACCTAAATAAACTGTTCTAAAATAATTTTGTTTAAAAAATTAAACCAAAAATAAATGAAAGCCCCAGGGAATCTAACTTCAGAAACTTCTTGTTGTGATGAGAATTTTAAGTCACTTTCATTAAAAAACCTGAAAACTTTAGGACTTGCAAAATAGTGGGGATTTTTTGTCAAGCACCAGACTTGTAACGCTGTATTCTAAAAAATAATGTCTCAAACACACATTAGGAAAAAGAAGCTAAAAACCAGCATTCATGCACCTTCAACAGTACTGTCAGTAATGCTCTCTTAGTAGGATTTTTCTCACTGAATATTGGGTGAACTAGAGATGTAGTACTCTTATTTTTTTACATATGCATTCATATAAAGCTAGTTCTAAATACACGGTCTGTGAAAGCCACAGTCAACTTGCCATTGTAATGAGCTGGGTTTGGGACTGTGCTTTGACTGCCTGAAGTGTGGGCTGTTGGCAGAAGACGTGTTTGGGCTTCACTCCTGTTTTGCAGTTTATTCCCATCCTCTTCTTTGTGCTAGCACCTGGATTTGTGGGTGATGCTGCACAATAGCTCAGGAGACTGATTAGACAAACTGACTTGGCTAAGGAAAAAAAAAATCCATCCTAGTTTTTTTCCTATCAGATTGTTTCCTTGTTCCATCTCACCACTCGGCTGCATAAGATGCAGAACATCAGTGTTCTAAAGTGGTACTCACTGGCAATGGCAGATGACAGTGACCATGTGAAAGCAGCCTGGGGAGATGGCTGTGCTGAGGATTGCAGTGTACTGTACCAGCACTTGGGCTGTTTCAGATATTTTACTTCTCAGTGGTTTGCTCAGTTGAAGGGGAGGACAGACTGTGCTCCTTTTCATCACATGACTGGGAGCAGGTGATACCACAGGGAAAACAAAATAAAGTGCAGGCTTAAAACTATGTAAAGAACAGTCTGGTTGTTGCAGAGGCCAAGTCAACTCATCAAGCATTTCTGGATATCAGAAGAGATAGATTAAAGTGTTACATGTACCATATAGTGTGTAAATCTATATTGCCATTACTATTTTTAATAGAAAATTTTAAGATGAAAGTACATGATAATTCAGAGTAAATTTTGAGGTCTATTTTTTAATCCTCCTCTGTATTAGTTGCTCTGGAGTCATGCACAGAGGGTTAATGCTGCAGTACTCCTCTTACAGCTTCAAGTCATGAATCAACTTTCTTGAGACACTGGAATAGAAAGAATTGCTCAGTACAGTTTTCTTTTAATCTTCATAATGTGACTGTCTTTTGTTTCTTGAATGCCTTTCTCTTCAGTAAAGATGTTTGCACAGTGTGTTGTTGTGCCTGCTGCTCTCTGTAAGAGAGCTGCAGCCACATGTCATTAGGAGTAAGAATTGACATGATCTGTAGTAGATAAGTTGATTATTTGGAGCTAATGTTTTAAAGAGGTTTCAAAAATGTATCAGAAATATTTCACTAGTTTACTAGTCAGATGCATTAGTTTAATTAACTGAGTTTTGAATGTAAATGAAGGAGTAAATCTGTGAGTTAGTGACTGGTATAAAGCAAAGCAGCCATTGCTGTGTCATCAGCCTAGTCTGATGAGTGACTTCCCACCCAAAACTGCAGGTGCAGAGTTGGCTGGCTTGTTACCTTGTCGTTCAGGGAAAGTAATGTTTACCACTTTTACTTGCAGTTTTTCCAGTATTTTTTATCACTGTCAGCAAGGACCTGCTCATCTTTTCACCTGCATTTGCAGGTCCACTTTTGAATAGGTAAACAGTGCAGAGCTCGCAGTGAATTTCAGTGCTTTGTCTAGTATGCAATGGTTTTTTTTCTAATGCTTTTCCAGGATGGCAGTAATGTGCAGCCACCTGCTGTACAATGCAAAGGAAAGAGAATTCCCGTGTCAGAGATACAGTGATACAGAAATATACACAGGCTGTAAAACTTCCCAAACTCTTGAGGACACATGAGTCTATGCAAAATAGGTACATATATCATGGAATCACACAATATGCTGAGTTGGAAGGGACCCAGCTGGGTCATTGAGCCCAACTCCAGGCCCCATGCAGGACACCCCAATAATCACATCATGGTCCTGAGAGCATTTTCCAAATGCTTCCTGAACTCAGACAGGCCTGATGCCATGGCCCGCTTCCTAAGAAGCCTGCTCCAGTACCCAGCCACCCCCAAGGTGAAAAATTCTCTCCTGATATCCAACCCAAACTTCCCCTGACCCAGCCCCATGCCACCCCCAAACACCGAGTTCTGACACTGGCCAAGATATTGTTCATCAAAAAATATCTGGGAACAGTAATAGATTCATAGCTTTAAAGTAGTTCTCAGAGCCTACTTGTAAAGCAGATGATACAGTAGTGCTGGAGAAACCAAGGTCTGTGCTGCTGTGGCAGTGAGAGCAGAACAGGAAATCTAAATGCCTCTTTGGCTGCCTTGAAGTCATTGTCTAATACTAGCCGTGTCAGCAGCGCCTGGCTCTTTGTCAGTCGGGCTCAGGAGGAGGTGGTTACCAGCCAGCAGAATATGACCAAGGCTTTTAAACACCACTGCTTGGAAAGTCTTATTAATGGCTGAATATGAGATCAATGTGCAATAATTCTTTCAAGCAGCATCTTTTTAAAAGCCTTTAGCAATCTGTCATCTTCATCTCCCTCCTCCCAGTTAGAAAGCCACATTAGTCAGGAGAAATCGCATGATCCTGGGAAGTTTCAAACTGCATCCGCTGATGCTGTGAGGAAAATGCCTCTGTGCAGGGACACAGGTGCAGTTACACTGACAGCTTCTTCTCATCCTCATCTCGGATCATCCTGGAGGGACAAGCAGAAAGAAACGGGGAGGTGGGCGACATTCTGTCAGGTGCATGGCAGCAGTACCAAAGAGAAAAATGGAATACGCTCTTCCAGGAGACAAAGATCGCGCTGTCTGTGAGTGTTAGCTCAACTTTTTCAGATCTGTTTTGAGAGAGGGGAAGATTTCAATACTGGTAATTTGTTCTGAGTTTAGCCACCTGTTCAGCGTACCTTAGCCATTGCTGTCATTCTGGTAGAAATGTTTAATCTTTTGGGGTTTTAAACTGATAGTTCATAATTGTAGTTATTTTGGAGGTGGCTTAAGCTTCCATAGTATTTTTGACATAGTGGAAACCTCAGCTTTGAACAACATCCATATTTTAAGAGGAGCTCTTTAAGCCTTTGTTCAATGTCATTAAATACTACTTATAAGGTTAATCTGCTTAATTAGCTACTAAGTGGCAAATTGTGTCGTAGTAAAGAACGTGGGTGAGGGAAGCCCGTGTCTTTATTGGAGAAATCCTGAGTCATTTACTTCATGATGCATCAGCAAAAATAATTGGGTGTGGTTTTGATTTTCAGCTGCTATTGTAACAAGGCTATAAAAGCTAAGAGTGTCTTAGTCTCTGATATGTGCTTGCAAAGGTTTTGTTTTCTCAGAATACACACAAAATGCCTCAAATATTTAAGTGTGGTATCTGTGCTTGCAAGGCTGTAATAGATGTAAGTATTTGAGTATTTATCTATCAAAAGCAAACTGTTTTCTGAGACTAGGGAATTTTCTGTTAATACAGCCTTTCCATCACATAGTAGTAGGCAATGCTATGTTTGATTATATTTTCATGTATGCCTTAATTTTTTTTTCTATTTTTACTGTCACATAATTGCAGACACAATGCTTAGTCTTCAGTTTATATGATGTTTTTTCCTAACCCAGGTCAGTGCTCTGTGAAAATAAGCATTGGGGAACTGTTAAAGACCCACAGTAATTTAGTGGACTGTTCTTTAATCCTGCAAAATATATCTTGGGTTTAGAATGAGTCTCAAACGCATTCAGCAATGAAAAAAGGAGTTCTAATTAAACATGTGTTTGTGAGTGAAATAATTTTTAGCAGTATGGATCTAAAATAAATATGCTCATGCAGTTGTGAATGAAGAGGAAAGGATTTTCTTTCTTGATTCTGTTAACAGGAGCTTAGATAAACCTATACTGTACTGTAAATAGTTACAATTGAATGACTTTGCAGTATTACTACAGCGAATTAGAAAGTCCTGAAAAGATAAGTGGGTTTTTTGTTGGTCTCTGCTGTAGAAAACTCTGATTCTTCAAACTTTGAAAAACCATGTTCCTACTCAGTACATCAGCTGTTTCTATCTTGCTTCACTTGTTAACAAGGTTTTTCGTATATAATCTGTATAAAGTACACCAAAGAAGAATGGCTTTTAGTCTTCTCTCTGTTCTGGAACTGTTCCATTTCCAGCACTCATTTTGGACAATTAACATAATTTTTAAAAATGCACTGGCCATAAATGTAATCCCTGTCTCCTGTGTCTCAGAAAGTGACTTATAAGAAGCAGTAGCAGCTTGGAGGAAGCTTTTGAAATAAACACAACATATTGCTGAAAAACCTTGTTTTGGTATCAATTACTTTAGATAATATTTCCTACCAGTAACTGATAGTATGATGGTAACATAATAATAAGCTTAATTATTTTTTAAAATTTCCTTTCTACTTTTTACATTATTCATTACCATGTCATTCTGCCAAAGACAACTAGAAATAAATAAACAAACCTGACTGTCAAAAGGGAGTAATACTAATGGTTCTAGTTATTATCTAAGTTGAGAGTGGTTAAAAGTAAAAATTCAAAAGTACTTGGAATAGATTCCTCTAGAATAATACGCTGTATTAATAGGAGGTTGAGATTTTGTATTTAAAATTCCCTCTTCGTGCCATCCACTGAAACAAACTTGCTGTTCCTTTACCTTACATTCTAATGTACAAGCTTTTTCATGGGTCTAATTTTTTTTTTTTTTTTTTTTTTAATTACCACCTATTACTGCTTGCAAGGATAAACTTTCTGGTGTATCCTGAATTTCTTGAAATAAAAGTGTAGCATTTACATCACATGCAGAAATGTAAAAGCTGTTGTGCTTTTTTTTCCTTTTTAGTGTTGGACTGTTGTAAGAAGGAATGTATGAATTCTGGGCAAAAAAGTTGTGAGGAAACAAGGCAGAGGCCTCCTATTTTCCCCAACCAAGAAGTGTATTTTTTGATATTATCATGATATTTGTAGGTGAAGGCAGCTGAGCTGACAGTGCTGATGAGCAACAGCAGGAGTTGAAACTGAGGAACTTTTCTCACATTTAGAAGTGCATGTTCAAGAATATGTGCAGGTCTGCAATCTTGTTTATGGAAAAGAAGGCTTTTAGGAGTGAGAGGTTTGGGTAAGGATCTAAGCTAAAAACTTAGAGCTATAATTTGTGATACGTAAGACACATTATGAGATTTAATTATTGCTTTTAGAGCTTTGTGAGGATGAAACATGCTTCGTAAGCATTAAGTGTAGTACTTCTGTCTCTTGTACTGAAACACAGTATACAAAATAGGATATTTTAATGGTATCACATTGCAATTGTAGCATAATTAATAATTTTCTGATTCCTTGATAATACTGGAAATTCTGTATGAATGGCCACACATAAAATCTACCCTTTGACTTGTAAAAATTGCTTTAATGGATTTTCTAGACATTACTTACATGTCATGGGAGATATTATCTCTAGATTGGTGGAGACATCCTCCATTTTTTCCTCTTTTGATCATAGGCAACCATGAGTTATACAGACCACACAGCTTTGCAAGTGACAGGCTAGTAGGAAATACAATAAATAAATAAATAGTGTGGGTTTATGTTAGCATAGACTAATGTATGTATGCCATCTGTAGTATTTCTAATAGGAGTGTAATCTTCAGATTTTTCTAAGTAAAATGTGAAGCTGCTTGTGCTACACAAGAGACCTCACTCTTAATGATGATTTTTCTGATCAGTTTAAGATTCCTAATAATCTAATTTCAGAAGGGCCTCAGCCCAATTCTTATTCATTGCTTTCTTTACCCACATCTTGCATGCTTCTAATGGATTCAGAAAGGAGAACAATTGTGGTTTTACTTACATAAGGAATTTTAGTCACAGCATAGTTCTTGGTCATTGAAGTTTATAAAAATACAGGATTCTTTCAATATGCAAGTAAGTTCTGCTAATAATATTTTAGAAAGAAGGAACAGACAAAGCCTGTGGAGCCAAAGAAATCTGTTAGAGGAAGATTTTGTAGCCTGAGTACTTTCTGAGAAGCTGAAAGAGAAGACCCAACTGAAAGATAAGACCCATTATCTAAGTAAAGGAATAACATTCACATTAAATTTTAATTAATTTTGATTTCCTAAGCTAATAGTCAGAAAACTGATTTCCAGTTCTGAAGAGGGATAAAAAAGTGTAAATTTACCCATTACGAGACCATGTAAAAGCCTTTTAAGAATTAGTCAGAAGGGATTTATGTAAAACTACTAAGGTGCCCATATTCTACCTTAATTACAAGAACAAATAAAACTATTCTTCCTAGCTAGGGGCTGAAGTATGAAATTTCATTAACGTTTGGAGAGATGGTGTATTTTTTACTGTTTCTGTAGAGTAGAAAATCTACTAATTACAGTTAGATGGAAGGTTATAACGTAGCTAGGCAACCAGAAGAATTGGGCATTCTTACATCTATGCCATATTGCACTTACTAGTGATAGCTTTCCAAAATTTAGATAATTCAGTTTTCAGTGGATAATCTCTGTCTGTCTCTGCCTCTCATTCTGCCTTCCTTCATCCATTTTTGTAAGGAAATGGAACTAATCTAAGCAGCAATAGACCAGTTTTCTTGATCAACTTCTAAAAAAATTATCTCATCATGGACCCCAAAGAAAGGTGCACCCAAAGATAATAGTAGAAAACCTCCTTGTTATTTTTGGGTTATTTTGCCAGCTGTCTGTATGTTGGTGAGTGCCAATAAAGTACAAGAACAGTCATGTGTTATATGATGGCTGGCCTTGCTCATGGCAAGTATGGTCAAGATGATGGGCAGGTTTGCCAAGAGCCTAGGTATGATTTCCTTGAAGTTCTGCCTGGAGCGAGCCTTATAACTATGATTTTTGAAGAAAACATCTCTGTTCACCCACTGCTTTGTCTGTGTCTTCATCTAAATGGGGAAAATTCCATGCTACCCTCGAAGTTCTTGTGTGGAGGTGTGCAGGTTGTTCCAGGTGTGCTGGCAGTGCACAGCCTGGCTCTGGAAGCCATTTTAAGAAGACAAGGTTATGCATATCCGTGCATATTCTCAGTTTTGTCTTGAAGTTATTAAGTGAATTTCACAGGGTCTTAAATAGAACAAGTATTCTAGTCTATTAAGTTTTCTCCTCCGTTTTAATTAAGGAGTTCTGGTAAAATAGCATGTTCTACTTAGAGAGAAACAGCTGGTCCAGAACGGCACAGTTTAATTAGAGTTGGATGCATTTTGAAAAAGTGCTCAACCATGGAAGAGGGGTACTTGGAGAAAACATAGGATTGTGTCATCACACTGGAAATATTCTTACAAGGAAATGAGTCATTAACCTATCCTAGTGTTTTGCACAATCATTGTTATTGTGGGTGAGTGTGATTGTCTGTACCTGTGAGTTGGTATGAATATTTAAGTTTCATGTAATGACTGGATGCTGAATCTGTTGTGAGTAACTGAAACAGAGTAAACAAATGTATGACTTTGCATGCCTTAAATAGATAAGAGGGAATAAAAATAGGGTTAACAAAATTCCTGAAGGTAACAAGTTAATTTATTCAGCTGGTATGCATGATGGCTTCCAAGTTTTATTTCATGGCAGTCATTTGAGATTTGGCTGTGTTGATGCATAGTCAGAGTTATGTGGGCCCCATCACAACTTGCACCAGCAAGTTAATGACAGTCAGTGAAACAATTACTGGCAGGTGTTCTGTAGGTGGTTGTTTCTGCAGGCCTCCACAACTGTGCATTATTTACTGTAAGGTTTTTACTTTTTATATACAGTATTTTGGTTGATAGTATGTTAACTTAAGATGTTGGTGTTCTTTTTATGCAGCTGGCTAATGTTTGCATACTCTTGTTAATAACATTTTTCAGAGGTCAAAATTAATCCCTGTCTAACTGGGCTGTATCAGACTGATTGCTGACAGTTTCTCTTAAAAATGAAGTCTCTTTATGTGTCCTGAACTGGAGAACTGGAGTTATCCTAGGTTTTGTTTTCATCAAATGTGTCCTAGATACTGCCATATATGTAGTTGTAAACTGAAAAATAAGAGTTAAGTAAATTTAGATACCTGGTGCAGATAACAAGAAGATATTTCACAGATCTCTAGATAAATATCTGATCATTATTCTGTATGATCTGATATTTATCTATATCACTATTCTCTGGTGATCAGAATTCCATACTTTTTCTGTTTTATTAATGACTGTAAGTTATTAGTTTTGCAGGACTTTTAAAAGTTGAGTTGGTTTTTGTTTGTGTGTGGTGGAATTTCTTTTTTTTTTAAGCCAGAATGCTAGTACCATCTTTGGAGAGAGCAGAAGCCTTCTTCTATTTTTTTTTTTTTCCATTTCTCAATCCGTTCATTGCTCGCTGTGTGGTTGCTGAGTTCACAGTGGCATTTTGTGGGAAACACGGAACGATTTGTAACACTGTTTTTATTTCTCCTTTTTATAACTCCCTTTTCAGAATTCCCCACTGTACCAATACCTGCAGGATTTGGGACACACAGATTTTGAAGTATGTTCCTCGGTGTCACAGAAGGCAGAGCAATGTGCAGCTGCAGAAAGCCAAAGGGAGCAGACTCTGAGTGCTGCCCAGAAGGTGAGCACTCTCCTGTCGCTGAGTATTTATCTTCTCACAACAGAACTGCATTGCTTCACAAATAGGAGAAATCAGAACAGAGAGAAGTCACTTCCTGTATTTAAAAACACAAAGGCAAAAACCCCCAGACAATGAACCTCAGCCCGTTATCATATCTTGAAGTTGTGGTTAATCAATATAGTTTGGAGTGTTTCTTTGCACTTATGTAAGCTGGGGAAGCAAGAAGCTTTGATAAATAATTTTTGAGTGTTGAAAATTATCTTATGTAGTAGATCTTATTATGTTAGCTGAGCATGACATTCTGGGAATAGAACCTGTAATTTTCTAGAACAGAATATTTATAGTTTTCAGCACTTCCCAGGCATTCAGTTGCTAAGTATAGCTTTGTCTGTGACAAAATGTATTAAGAAAGAGGATTTCTGGGAAGTAGAAATGCAGTAACCAATTTGAATGAGATATTTGATGTGGATAGCTATTGCATTTCTAATAGTGATTGCTTCTATCACTGGTTACAAAGCAAGGCTGAATTTAAATCAGGATTTAGCTCACCATTTTCTTTATTTTGAGCTACCTTTAAAAGTATTCGTGGAAATATTAGGTCTACCACTTTTGCTTTTCAAAATTGTCAGCTGATACTCACCATAACCCTCAAGAAACCACCTGAAAATATGTTTTCTCTTTAAAGTTAATGGCTGGTTTGTGGTATGCTTACACTAAAGATCCCTATTCTGACTTAGTGTAGGGAGACTTTGATTAAGTGTTTGTTTATTTATTTATTAAATGTTAACATTGTTCACTGTTAATTAAAAAGCAGGATGACATTTTATTGGTTGACACTTTGTTGTCTATGAAGTAATGCATGGACTGTCAACTACATTATTTTGCATAGTTACTTTTGTGGCAGTCAGAAAATCAGTATTTGTCTATATAATTTCCACTGAATTTTATACAAAAGTGCTGTGGGGTTAAGAACCTCAAAAGTATTAAGATATACTGCTTTTAAAAACCTCAGGTATTCTGGTTTTTCCCCTCAAGCATTTTATACTTAATTTTATTGTGTTGGCAGCAATTCATCCAATATTGTGTCAGATGTAGAAGTAATTTTTCATGGTTTGCCTTGCAACTTGAAGGGAGTGGGTGTGTGAAAATGGGCTGTCCATTTCTTACAAACACTATGTGATGTTCACATTGTCTCATCTCTGTCTAGACAAGAATACATAGTAGAAATGAGGAAGAAACCTGTGTGTAATTTTTAGTAATAAATTGTCAGAGGTTCTTCCTGCTGCAATTCCAGTACCAGTTGGGAAGAGTTAACACTTCTCTTTTGTAATTTGATGTCAGAAAGTCTGTTTTTGTCATTTGATTTCTGTGTCCCATTTTGGTAGGGTTTCTCAACAGGAAAGAAAATGAGGGAGAGACAGCTGGCCACACATTTAGAAAAGGAGACTGGATCTAGAAGGATCTGAGGCTTTGTTGCAATTTTTTTATGACATACAGACAAATAATTTGCATTCCTATCCAGTCATTTCCTCAGTTTTACAGAAGACTTTTACCATTTCCCTTCTCTTGGCCTTCACTGGCCTAGTCTACTGAAATGATAAAATATCTGGAAAATAAATGGTTTCTGACTTCTGAATATGTACCTACCCACAGTCGTAATGTAAAATGATCTTCCTTGAGACTTGATGTAACTATGATTACAGGGAGCAGATGCTGTTCCACACTGAGTGTTTCCCAGTATGTGTATATCACTTTCCTTCTGTTCTGAAAAGCAAGTTTCCAAATGCCTTAAACACTTTTTTAAAATAAAAATGTAAAAGTTGGGAGTATTGCTTTGGCTTTGAGTTGAGATTGTTTCCTCCTCTTGAGTTCAGTCAAGTGGGAACCCTGTGCAGCTGAAAGCAGGTGACACGCAGCAAGAATTTGGCACAGCAAGGGTCTGCTTTGGGATCTTCAGAGCCTGAAAAAACAAATCTGAGAAGAAAAAGAGGTTCCTAATGACTGATAGAAATATTTCTGTTGTGTCTTGCTGTCCTGCCAAGCAGAGCACGTGGTTCAGGCCTAAGGAAACGCAGAGGCACCAGCTGAATTTGAAGCACATCTTAAATACTTCTCAGGACATGTAGTTTTGGTGGTGGTTTTTTGGCCTTTTTTTTAATTGGAATATGGTCTTAATGAACTGTGAATTAAAAAGCTGTAAAGGTGTTTTAAGATTGTGTTCTAGGGGCTGATGAAATGCCAAGCTCCCATCTGAAGTATTATGGAGATGTGTTTTAGCATAGTAATTGTAGGTGCAGTGTTCCTGGCTGTGCCAATCTCTGGAGAAAGTTACAGCTATAGTCCTGGTCTCATGATCACTTGATACTCAAAAGCACTGCTAGTAAGAGCTCCTAGACTTGTTTTCTGGAATTAAATCCCATTTGGGTAATTCTGCTTGATCTTTACAGAATTTATCACTTCCCATTTACATCTTTCCTTTCTCAGCTGTTTTCCTAGACTGCTGTGCATATCTGAATGTTTAAATTGATTATACTGTCATACCTTGTCCCACCTTAGATATGATGATATTTTGTCATTAGAAGGGAGCTGGTGCTGGAGGCAACTTCTGAGAATTGTGCTGGGGCTAGCCATGAGTAGCTGTGCAGGTGACCTGGTGTGGGAAGGCAGAGGGACCAGTCCTTTGCCTTTGCCTAGGTCTGCCCACACACTTAATGTGAGGTATTCAGTGTGTAGCATTATCTTCTGAAGAAGAATTTCTCTACAAAAGAGAAATAGTCCTTAGAATTATTTTTTAGATTCAAATTAATTTACCTAAAATGTGCATGTACTATGCTAATATTTTTTAAATGTTAGGAGTTATGCATCTTTATTATTTAGTTTACAGAGAGTTTGACTGAGTGTTGTTCTAAAGCTGTAAGAATACTCTGGAAGCATTGGCAACATGACCTGACTTGTGTGTTGGTGAAAGTGGTTTTACTTGTCAGTAACACTCCCAATGGGAATGCAGATTGTGAGACACTATTCCAAGGATGTGAATAATTCAGTGTGTTGCTGTACTGTGTTGGGTCACAGCCCAAGACAGTGGGTTGTCTTGTTTTGTATTTTCAAGCACTGACTTGCCTGTTGAGTGTTTATGCAAGCTCAGATCTTTATTTTTAAACTAAATCATGGAGATGTAGCATGCTAGATTTTTTTTCAGTAACTCCACAGTCTAGTTTAGTAAGGTGGGTAGCAGTGCAAAACTATCTTTGGTGTAGCTTTAAATGTTCATGATAAAAATCCAAAGACTTACAAAGACTAAGCAGTTGAAAATGATAGGATTCAAGAGGCATATTTGTAAATTAAATGGATTACTCTTTCCGTACCCTGCTTTCCATGTACAGGCAAAAGTACTTTTCAGTGAAATACCTGTCTGAAATTCAAATGCAGAGCAAGACCTTTGTTCATTTAATTTCGATTTTCTACAAATTGTAATTAGAAAATTTTATTTCCTTTTGCACTGCTCTGCAAGAAACTTGACGGATGATCTTGTGCTGCAGTTAGTGACATTCTTCTGACTTATGTCATTGCCCTTGAGCAACATCAAAATACAATCACTTGGATTTATTCCATAGTCTTAAGTGTGAATTGCTGGGATAGCTCCTCCTACTGATGTCAGTGTTTCGGGAAGAGCTCTCATTATCAGGTCCCTGTTACTGGTTTGCCTCTTCACTGACCTAAAAACACTTCCTTGTGGCATAGATCTCAAAATCTAAACGTACACAGAAAGATGAGACATTTGTAAAGAAAAGCTTGAGTTAGATTACTTAAATGGGCACCAAAATAAGTTATTTCAAAAATGGTTGAAGCATAAGGGCTTTAGGGTGACAGTCCCTGATGTTAAGGCTGTTGTGCCCTGCCTTGCTGCACCAGACTGGTGGCACTGCCTTTCAGAAGGCTGCCAGGCTGATCACAGGTTAACTACAGAACTCTGAGCTCCTGCTGCTTGGGTTTGTTCTTCTATTTCCCACTTGTAGTTAGGGGGAAAACCTAGAAAAATACAAACAAGAAGGGAACAAAAAATGGGGGAAAAAAAAAAAACAAACAAGAGGGAGAAACAGAAGCTGTCACCTTTTATACATGGAGCTATTAGAATCTGTATGTTTTTTTTTATTATTATTATTTTGAAACAGTATGCCACAAAATGTAAGCACTTCACAATTAATTTTTTTTTTACATACATTTTACCTGATTGTATTACATGTCAGCAGTCTGAAGATTGAGACAGGGCCTCAGAATTAATGAATTATATATAACTAAATATTTTGAAAAATGCTTCCTGTCAGTTCAGTCTGAGGAAGGTAGATAGAATGGTGTGTCAAAAGCTGTGCTTTTTTGTTCTGAATGCCTGCAGACTTAAGCAAAACCATGCATCTATTCAATTATAATCTGTCATGCATCTTGTTTTAGGAAGATACATGAGTAGAATGTGTGATGACTGAGAGGGAGTCCCTCTGTTAGTGGCATCTGAAGTTCATTTACAGCTCAGACAAAAGTGTGGATTTAGGTTGTGTGGAAAGCAACACAGAGACAAAGTACCTGCTGGTGCACACTGGTGTGGACAGGGAGTTTTTGGGGCATTTCCTCCTCTTACCATCACTCTTCCTGTCTCTGTTTACAGCTCCTCTGGAGTTGTGCTCAGGCTGCAGTGGGCTGCTGAGGAGAGGTTGTCCCTGTTCTGGTCTTTCACTTCTCTTCAGCCTGTCAGTCATTTAACCTTTGGGCTTTTATCCCCCAGGAGAGAGAAAGTCTTTCATATCAATGCAGTAGCTGCCAACTTGAGATCAATATAATCTTAGCTGTAGTTATTTTTAACATAACAACATAACAATCCATTATGCTCCAAATAGGTGGGATTACTGAAGGTTTTATTTTATTCTCCTGTCCACAAGCAAACTGACGGGAAGCAGATGTTCTCTTAGTGTACTCTGAAGTTAGGCCAGACACAGTAAGTGAAACTTCCTTACAGGTACTTGGGTCTGAATTAACAAGAAAATCAAATGCAGAAGTAAAGGATTTGTCTGCTGTTATTTATTTAACTTTGGCTTTGGTTTTTGGTTTGTTTTTTTAAATTGGAATAATTTCTGTTCCTTTCAGCAAGGCATCCTGTCAAAACTAGTTGAGTTTTTTAGAAGCTGGTTTCCTTTTCCACAGTATAAGAAAAACGATGACATACTTCACCGACTGGTAAGTGATCACTTTTTTTATTTTTCCATTTCCTTTCCTAATCCACAGGTCTTCCTCTCCTCTATATCTCATCCTTTAAACATCTTCTTTGGTCTGTATTGTTTGTTTTGGCTCTAAGAGTATTATTTATTCTTTAGATTATACTAATTCTGGTTTTCAGTTACTGTGCCAAATTGGGCACAAAAGGACAGGAACAGTATCAGTAGCCAGGTTAAAGATGTTCAAAATGTGTAAGATAATAAAATATGTGAGAAATTTAAGAAATTATTGAAAGCTGAAATGAGTTTAATTACAATGTTGGTACCCCTTTGGTGAAGGCAGTGGGGAGATGTTGACCATGTGTTACAGCCTAGTGCCTCGTAGAGACCACTAAGACAGAAGGTTCTAGAGCTTCAGCAATTGCTTCACTCTCTGCTTCAGCTTGTTAGCTCAGGCACAGCACCACAGTGCAGCTTTACTGCCCCTGGACCCATCCTGGCCTCTTTGTTTCTACACTGCTCTCTACAGGGCTTCTGCTTTTGGGAAAGGCAAAGCAAACTTTGTTTGCTCTTTCTCTGCAGCACCACTTTCCAGTCTGGGCTTGTCTCAGATCTGCTTTAACTTGTACCCAGCTCCTTCATGCTCCTAGTATAGCTTGCAAATGGCACTTCAGACCATTCCAGAATCTAGAATTTTGATTTGTTTTTTTCTACTACAATGCAGGGATGATGGCTTCAAATGGAGCTTCAAAAGAAAATGCTGAGCAACATGAGAAGTTAGAATTTTCCATTTCACACAGAGTTCTGCTGTATCTCAGTAGGACATAATTTCCTCTGAAAATCTCTCATTAGTGATCTTTGATTGACTTTTTTCTTCCTCCCTCTTCCCCTATGAATTGAGGGTATTATCTTAACAGCAATTTTTAGCCTTTCTTGAGATGGAGGCATAACTGAAGAACATGGAAAACATGTTTGTCCTGCTGCATACTCCGGTAGAGGATTGAAATGACACAGGATGCGTCGGAGGAGGGCAGAGTTTCCTCTTGCACATAGTCCTGAGACAAATGTTTTCCATTAAATGTAGAATGAAAGTTATCTGAGGTGACATCTGTGCATGGAATTAAATTTCTAAACTAGCTATCTTATGGTTTCATAAAGAATCTCATTCTGTCAGTGACAGAATGAAACAGATTTTGTACTGTGAAATGTCACACTTGTGTTAAAAGTTTCTATTAGAGACTTTTCAGAAATATTCTCTTTTCTCTCCTGTAATTAGCTAAATTCAGGGATGCACATGTTCAGTGTTTGTTGGGTTTTGTTATGACATTCTTAACTTTAAGTAATTATGGTTTGGTGCAGTATGCAAATAAAAATTTCAGGGGGCTTCTCTGATGGCTGTATTTGTCTTCATGAGCTCCATATTTGTCTTCAAGAGCTGTAGTTGGGGCAAAAGTAGCAAATGCTAATGGCATCAAATTTGCAACTGTGTAACTCCCCAAAGCTTGCCTGAGGTTTAGCAGGTGGGAGGTCTTCAGAGCCCCATGCTGTTTCATGTTTGGATGGAGTTCCCTTGGGAAAGGTACAGAATCCTGCAGGGGGGTTCTCCCTGCCTTGGCTCTGGCTCGGGGCCATGTTTGGATGGAGTTCCCTTGGGAAAGGTACAGAATCCTGCAGGGGGTACTCCCTGCCTTGGCTCGGGGTGTCAATCCGGTGCACTGTTATTAAGTGTCCTCAAGTGACATTTGTTGACTAATTAGCAATATCTCTCTTTCTCTAAGTTTCATTTGTTAATGGTATAAATGATGTCGTGGCATTAAAAAAAAAAAAAGTATTTTCAGGTTTTTTAATCTTCTTTTTTAATCTTCTAATAGATTCAGTACCTCTTATTCTTATGCAAATACACTGGCATAATCTGTGGCGTGTTTCCAGTTATTGTTACTGTCTGGGTCAGATCACAAAGTCAGCGTGATGCATCCTGCAAGCCCAAACTCTTAGGTAGTGTGTGAGCTTTAAAAGTAAAACAAGTTTAATAAAAAAATAGCTACTTGTGATATATCTGAAACATTTCCCTGCTCTGGGAACAGATTGTTGTCAGTCAAGTGTAGGGTGTGTGGGTGTTTGCCTTATTCTGCTAACTTAATTTTAAGAATTTGCATATTCTTTACTAATGCCGGTTTTTTCTCCTGCCCATTTGTATGTGGTAAGGATGTTGGATTTCGATATGACACGCTCCGTACCATCCTGCAACAGGAAGTTCTGCTGCAGGAGGATGTGGAACTGATTGAATTCCTTGACCCCAGTATCCTGTCTGCAGGGCAGTGTAAGCAACAGGAAAACAGACAGCTTCCAACACTACGCTCCCTAGCAACTCCTAATATTTGGTATTGTATTGAGGATATCTACCATTATAGTCACTTAGAAACAAGCAAAAAATATATTGTACATTCTTGATATAAAATGCAACATTAAAGTAACTATATTTTTGCTCACATCCTTGGGTCTTTATTCTACTAGTCCCCAGATTTTTAAATAAGCATGTTTTTTCCATTGGGTATTTTACTGAAAGAGTGAATTTTAATCTGGGGTAACTACATGAATATGAATGAATACTCCCTAACTAATATATTCTATAAGGAGGAACTCACATAGCTGATTAATTCATTAATTTCTGAAGCTATGTAGAGGTGATTTTGATAACGAGACATGAGTGTGAAGACTGAATTGAAAAGTGTTTATTTTGGTGTGGTCTTTATAAAATATGTTGTGTGTGGGGCAGCAGTATCTGAACAGCTACCACCTGTACTTAAAAAATAACAATGTCAGTGGTTGTTCTGACAGTATCTTGCTTGGAAATGTGGTAATCAATAGGAAAAAAATATCACGTAATATGGGCCAGTGCTATTTTCTCATATATACACTAAAAAAGTAGACAAAATTATAGAGTCACACCTCAGCTGTTTAAGTTGTGTCAATATTGATGCTCTCTGTCAAACAAGAGAACTTTTGAACCAGATGTTTCTGGTCCTAGCATTATTCAGTTTCTTTAACTTTCAGCTGATAAAGTACACTTACAAAATTTGTGAATGTTGTTCAACTTCCAGATGACATCAGGTTTTTGTTTTCATAGACCAGAGGTCAACAGTAGCTTGGAGAAATACCCTGAAAATGATAGAAAATTCAGTAAAGATAAAAGTTTAATGCTACACTTGGGAAGGAAAAGTCAAGTTAAGAAACACCAAGTGATGAATAATTGGGTATGCTGTACTACTCCAGGAAAGGATCTGCATATCTCTGGGATGGAATAGTGTTATGATATGTAGAAGGTGGAGATCAGTCATCATTTGTTCTGTTCAGAAAAGGGAAGCATAAGAGGAAGAATAATGCAATTAATCTGCCAGTGATTCAAACTGGGACTTGGGGGAAGTCTTTTGAACTCTAAGGATACTTAGGAGTTGGAATAGCCACGACATGGGTTGTGGAGTCTCCATTTTCATCTTTGGTCTGTCCATGATGATCTGGGTTAACCCACCTGAAGCTGAAAATGAACAAAGTGAGCTGTTAAATCCCTTCTAGTCTTTCATTGTTGTGATTTGATTTATTTTAATTGTGGGACTTTATTTTTTAATGTACCAATGAAGTTAGAGACTGTGTGTCTGTCCCTTTCAGAGGTACCTACATATTTGGCATATTTTAACCCTGGATTTTTACTGAAACCTATCAGTAGCCAGTAGCCCTAAAGAGTTAACACTTGTAAAGCTGGTTGAAATTTGACCACAAAACTGTCCAGGAAACAGAAACCCAGAGATTGTGTCTTATTTTAGAAATGGAAAAATATTCCAAGTCTATTTTTCCAAACCTAAATGTGGGATACACAGCTCTAAGGGGTAAAGGAAAAAAATGTTTTTCAGTGAAAACATTCTGGAAAAGTATAGTTGTAGTGCACCTTGAAGCTGGTATCCCATCCATCTCTCTGAAGAGTGTGATTATTTTACAAAACCGTGTAATAATATACATGAAACAGTGTATTTTCTAGCAGTTACTTATATTTATGTTGAATTTTTATAGCGGAAAGTAACAACTTCATAGGCTTTTAAAATATCTTTGAGAAGTAACTGAGATACTAGGAAATCTATTTTTTAAGGATTTTCAAAAGGTGCCAAACTTTTTTAAAAGACTATTCAAGCCATCTTTATAAAATTGTCTTAGAAACTAGTGGTGCATTGGAGTCCAAGTTAAATGAGTCAGACTCTAGAAAAAATACATCTGGCACTAATTGAGGAATTTGCTACCAAAAGAAACATGCCCTTCCCTACTGTACTCTTGAACCTGGAAGTACAGATATTACAGTTCCTACACGCCCTGGTTTATAATGCTGAGTAGTCATGTTTTTTCTTGTTTTTTTTTTTAATTTTCTTTTCTATTTTTTTAAAGTCATGTAAATGTGTAAGAGAAACTAACCTTTCAAAGTGGTACATTACTCTCCTATTCATGCTGTAAAAAAGCTGAAGAAAGGTTTCCTTAGAGTTCACCAGCCAAGTAATATCATGTACGTATTCATCCAAACCTGTCACAAGGGGTAGTTGTCAGTGTTTACAGCTCCCTTCAGGACCTGCATAAAAGCCCACAAGTAAGCTCTTGCAATCTCAAATGTAACTGAAAAGTTGGTAATTTTCCCAGCTGTTTGCCCTCAGTAATGTGTGGTTGGTGGTACTGTCTCTTCGCAGGGATGTCTCGCTGTTCCTTGCCTTTGTAAGTGCGCTGCTCATGTTTCCTTCGTGGTGGAAGGAATCCTCATGGCTGCTGTGCGGGCCCGTGCTGCTCCTCTATGCAGCCTCTAGGGCGTGGGGCACGTGGAGGACAGCCAGGCTGCAAATGTCCCTGCGAAAATACTCTATCCAGCTGGAAGAAACAGTGGCCAACAGCCGGGCCTTTACTAATCTCGTGAGGAAAGCACTACGACTCATTCAAGAGACTGAAGTGATTTCCAGAGGATTTACCCTGTGAGTCTGTATTTCGCTTTACTTAATGCACAGATCCATACAAACCAGCTGTCATCTAAAACTGTCTTGTTACATTGTCTCCCATAACAAGTGGAATTACTGAAAAACATAATACTTAAAGGTTTTAATTCACATGAAGTAGTATAATTACGATTCATACTAGAAGTATGAATTCTAACAACTCACATCCTGAAGGTGAATTAAGTCTCACAAAACTCATGTGCCTTTGAAATGTTCTGCATTGCTAGCAATGAAATATATAAACAAATGGACTTTGAACTAAGTTAACTATTTTGGAGAGACATTTAGAGTTTTTTATCTTACATTACCAAATTCATGTAAATAAACTGATCTGCAAGTAATCACTCATATTTTACAAAACAGGATGACATGAAAACCATTCTATTTTTATTTAACAAATATGTCTAAAGTAGTGAGAACACAGTAACCAGCAAAAACCAAATATTATTTCCCACTTCAAGTAAAGTTAACATTAGTCTTTTTTTCTTGCATACAGTTGTTGAAACATTTAGATTCTTAAATTATTTACTGTTGAATTTGCCTCTCTTCCACTTAAGGGATGCAAAAATATTTCTGATTATTTAGCTCTTGTAGTTATTGGATAAGTTTTGCTGATTTGCTGTGTGAAAGGACATCAGAAAGTGTTCAGTGTATTCCAAAGCCCACAGGCCTGTTTCTGTGCACTCTCATTGCCGTGGATGCTTGCGCATTGTAACCACCTACGATGAATCCATGTGTGCCAGTTCTGCTGAAGGCTAAAGGAGGTGGGAAACACCAACACCTAAAATACAGTCAACTTCTTTCTAAAAAAAAATCAGAAGTTCCCTTGTGGGCAACAAGATGTTTATCCGTACCAGACCAACTATTCTACATTCAGACACATGTTCTTACATGCAAGTGTGCAACTTTAGACTTAAAATTCTGGATTAATTTTTTTAGCTTGAGATACCTTCAGTGTATTTCAATGAAGAAATGTTTCATTCTCCTTTGGAATGCATAAGCATGTCTTCAGTCTGCCTAGCTGTGTGGTTTTTGTTTTGCTCTGGATTTTTGCTGAAGAAGCATATACTTGAGCAATAGGCAGTCTTATCTTTGCAAACGGGTTCTTAAAAGAAATTATTGTTCAGGCTTGTCCAAATTACAGATGAGAAAAACATTTGGAATTTTGCCTAAGTTTAAGCAAACGAACTTGTGGTCAATGTCTAAATTGCTGCTGCCTTGTTCTTTTACTACATATCTTAGATAACATATTAACAAAAAACAGACTGGTCTTTAAGCTGATGCTTGATCTAATAGCTTCTTTACTTGAAACTTTGGCAAGCTTTTCAAAAGACTTGGGTATATGGATGGAGTGGGAGAAGTTTGACTGTGCCAGCATCCTCACTGGAACAACTGTACAGTATAAAGAAGTCAGTTTTGAGTTGCTTTGGCCTAGAGGAACTTCTAAATCCAGAGTGTCCTTTCCTGCATCCACATACGCAAGAGATGCTGCTGCACACAGCAGTGTGAAATTCTTTGCTTTGGGTACCTCTTTGAGTATGATCCAAAATGCTAGTTTTCCCTTTTTTTTTTTTTCCCCTAGAATTTTCTACAGTAAACCACCAGAACAAAGTTTAGTATTTTCTCCTGTATAAGGTTATCAAATCTTAGTACTTTTTCAGAAGGAGTCTCATGGCAATAGAAATGGTTGCATTTGAGAAGTTACTGAGTATCCTCTTGTATTATTTTACATCCTTGAAGGAATGAGATTTCAATGAGGTGCAGCATCCTGGTCACTGTGCAGCTGTTTTAAGGTACTGCTGGTTCAGCACAGGCCTGTGCATTGACCATATTGTGAGTGGAAAGATACTGAAGCTGTTATTTAAATAGTGCCAAGTTCAGACTTTGTCTGGCTGTACTTAGCCAAACTCTGACAGGGCAAGTCTAGGTCTGCAGTTTTGGCCTGAAGTTCCTCATGCTCCACTGCTGGTTTTCCTCCCCATGACACCATCCATTGCTGTTCTCATAGGCTAATTTACACATCCATTGAAATATCTATGGCTTTGCTTTATTCTACCCTATTTGCCCCTTATTAATTGATACTGGACTGTCTCTGTAAGTGGTATATTATTACTGATGAGGTTTTGGTCAGTTATCTATAGGTTAAGTGGTTTATTACTGTGTGGTAGTGCCTGCTATACTCAGATAGTCAAACATCCTCCCAGTAAAACTGACTGCAGCCACAGGAACTAGAACAGGAATTAGATCAGGAACTAAGAACTTGAGCAGGGAGCTTGGATTAGATGGCCTCCAGTGATCCCTTCCAGTCTTAACTATTCTGTGATTCTGTAATCCTGTCAGGCTTCTCTTACATTAGCTGCTCTCAAAGACAGCTTGATACTCTGATTCCAGCATGGCCTTTGGAAGTGTTTAATGCTCTGTTGGAATCTCAGGTGCATCTGTGTGGTACCAGCTCTGTGATGCAGAGATGGCCAAGACCTCACCTGGGTGGCTTGGATTACAGAAATTGTGTAGCAAAGGTAGGGCAGTGCTGTACTCAGGCAGAAGGGCAGTATTTCTGTCTAATTGCTTCATTTGCAATTAGCCAAATGAAGCCTGATCACAGGTTGCAGCCTGCAATTTCTGGAGGGTAATGAAAGTATGCCCATTGTCTTGCACATCATAAAACAAGAACTGAAGGGAATACACAATGAAAGGCTGCAGCAGTAAGCAGCAAGTGTTTATTCCCTTGCTTGTCACCAAAATAATTAACTTATTTTCCGAAATGCTCCCTTTTTACTGTATTTTAAACTTTAATTAAGCTCTGTGAACTTAATACATATGGATATATATTAGCATCTTTAGAAAACTGTTTTCATGGTGGAGTGCAGTAATAGATTTTTATTAATGTGTTTATATAAACTTGTTAAAAGTTGAAAGCCAATTTAAGATTTGGCTTGTAAAATTAATGTAGAAAATATGTTGTTGTTCTATACAGTAAAATGGGTTTGGAGCTGTAGGAAAGGGGAAATTCATGCCCAAATTTTCTTTGCTTCTTGCTACTTGTGGCTGATAGGCAAAACTGATAGCATCTAAGTCCAATTAAATACATAGAGGATAAGAGAGAGACTTTTTACAAGGGTGTGTGGTGATAGGGCAAGGGGGAATGGCTTTAAACTGAAATAGGGCAGGTTTAGATTAGATATTAGGACCAAAATTATTGACTGTGAAGGTGGTGGGACACAGGAACAGATTGTTCAGAGAAGTGGTGACTTACCCATCCCTGGAAGTGTTCAGGGCCAGGCTGTATAGGGCTTTGAGGAGCCTGGTGGAAGGTGTACCTGCCCGTGTCCCTGCCCATGGGGGGTTTGGAATTAGAGGATCTTCATGTTCCCTTCCAACCAAAACCATTCTGTGATCTGTGAAGATAAATGAAACACTAGGAATTTAGGGGTATGACATACCTGACAGAAAAACATATAATAGATTCTACTAATTAAATTAGTCAAATAAGGATCATTTTTATATAAAAAGCACTGAAACAATCCATTCCAGAAGGAAAGCAGATTATTTTGCTGAATACTGGCATTACATGCTGTGCATGAGTTATGCTACATTTCTTCTCTATAGGAGTTGGAAAAGTCTGCATCACTGTAGTAGAACACAGATCCCTGTCTATTTTATGGTAGAAGAATGTTGCTCCTTTTCTTTGAGCTTTCTTCTGATAATTCACATGGGCTTAGGTCTACAAACTAATGTGAGAGTTTATACATAAACACTTCCAGTTGTTACTTCCAAAAGCTAGGGAAGGGTTAGAGATTGGCATGTACTGCATTACATGCTGTGTTCCCTAGTGAAAGATACAGCAAGGCTAGCATTTTAAATTTACATTTAGAAATGGAAATAAACACAGTTTGATTTTTATTTTTTTGAGATTGTGAAGTCATTTATGAGATGTTATATAAACCATTTTAATAACACATAATTTAAAATGGTATGCAGATATTTTATATTGTATTTCAGCTAGCATATTCAATATATGGCAATATTTGGCATGAATCTGCTTGTGTTAATGGTGCTAAACACACTGATATATGGTTCCAGCCTTGCTCAGTGGGTGGGCTGCTCTGGTTTTCATATCTGATAGTGAAGGCCACAAGCTATTTCCCCTCCCAGTCAATGTGCAGCATGGTCCAGCGAAGCTCACGGAGTAGGACTGACCTTTTCCCAGCAGTGTCAGTCTGCTGACTTGGTCAGCTTTGTAGTCAGATGGACTACAGAAATAGTTACCAATGCAGCAACCCACCTCAGGCTTACCAGGTACCCTGTGTGCTTTTCCCTTTTAAGTGGCTGCACATGAAATCACCTCTTCACTCTGCCCTGGGAAGGGTGAGAGCAGAAGCAGGCTTCCAGTCCCCAAACAATTAGCCACAACTGATTGTCCTGTTGTCCAGACCATGTTCATTCCCGAGCTGATTCTAGTAAAAACAGTCCCAGCAAGTAGAGTGCACCGAGGCTGTTTCCAGAGTCTCAGTCAGGTTTGACATCAGATTGTGTATGAAAAGATACAGCTGCAGCTTAAAGATCCACAGACCTGTTCAGTCTTCACCCAGATCACAATTCATTTTATTTCTAGACGAGATGATTTCTTACAATGTTAAAGCCAATGTGAATTATATTCTAATAGGCAAATGGCATTGTTTCTTTTAAATGGTATATTCACCTGAATAGCCAGACACCAAATGTATTTTCCTATGTGCTTGTGTAGTGTATCCATGTCATGTGTTTACCTGTCAAGACTCTCACAAACACAGCTGCCATTCATTGCATGATGATAAAATCTATGTCGCCTCTCAAATAATATTTTTCTTCACCTAGAAAACGTTCTGCATCAGAAAGGTCAAAAGAATATAGTGTTTTGTATGGAAAGCTATGTGTTGGCACCTTTTTTCTGCAAAAATTATTGAAAAAATAAATTTGGGTATAAAGAGGTATATGTTGAATACATGTTTATTAAAATTTCAAAGCTGACAGTGGGCTTGTAATAGTTTTGTATCCTGATTGAGATAATGTTATGGCATGTCTGCCATTACTGTGCCATTTTAGAGAAAATAAATGTGTTCAGGAGTTTTGCCACGGCTCAGATGAGAATAAATTAAGGCTATTTACTAAGGAATCCTGGCTGCTGTCTGAAATTTTGATTAAATATATCATTGATATGATCAAGGTTTAGTCCCATAGTTACTGAGTGATTTGAAAAAGCTTTCTAAATAATGAAATAGGAAAACTGATGTACTGTTCTTTAAAAATACTTTAGGACATCTGTACAGTTGTATCACATTTTACTTTTCAAGTTTGCTTGACAGGGTCAGTGCCGCTTGCCCATTTAATAAAGCTGGACAGCATCCTAGCCAGCACCTGATCGGCCTGCGCAAAGCCGTGTATCGGTCCGTCAGAGCCAACTTCCGCGCTGCAAGACTGGCTACTCTGTACATGCTGAAAAAATATCCTTCCTGTAAAAACACACCAGCTCAGGTAGTCCGTGTTGCCTACTGCACTTGGGCCAATGTTGAGTCAGGATGTCTAGAAATATACAGTATTTAATTAGATATCTAAACAAGGGAAATAAAAGGTAGCTTAGTAAATTGGGGCTTGCGTTTGGTTTGGAACATGCTTAAAAGTTGCCTTTTTGTGTACTGTGCAGTGTGATGAGATAAGATTCAATGCACTGAAAACATTGTATCATTATTGATACCCATGCTTTGGTGTAAGTGCTGATGATGTGTTTCAGACGCCTTCAAGATTTTGTTTTATAATTCCTCTTCTGTGAACAGTATGACCTTTCATTCGACATCCCTGTGTTCAAAGGTAAGTTGGTTTTCTCCTACCAAATTAACTGCAGCAAATTAAGCTTTTCTGTTAATGTACATCTCACATATGGTAGAAGGAGATCAGTCTGATGAACCTATGACAGAGAATTAAAAATTTTAGGTCACAGCTTTATTCATGGTGATACAAATTGCATAAACTTGATATGTTTTCATTCTCACTTCTATTCAGTAGAACTAGAAGTTTAGCAGTATTTGCTTGTGGCTAGTGTACACTCTTTTAGTTAGATAACTGCCTTCAATGAGTACAGTTAAATAATTTTGCCCTGATTAAAATTTGTTCCCATGTAGAAGAGAAAATATGCAGTCAAATTTTAGCCTTATACAAGGCAGTTGTTCAAACTTGGTAGATCAGTGACTTAATGAGAGGGAAAGTCATATTGCTTGCATTTTGTGTGGAGAGACAGCGGGGTACTGGCAGAAACAACTCAGCATTTGCTCACACCATTCTTACTCTGATTTGTTCATGTCAGCAAGAGTGCATTGCTTAAAATCACAGAACAAAATGCCATAGAAAAGAGTATTTCTCTTTTAATTCAGAATCTAAGGTTATAGCAGGATGCAATGGCTGAAAGCCTCAACTAGAAATTAGGCACTTTGGGTTAAGTATTTACAGGATGTCGTGCAGACCAGTTCAAAAGCTCTCTGCACTGTCCTCCACTGAATTGTGTGGTGACTCAGGCAGTGCTTCCCTTGGCATGCTAGCTGCTTAAACTTTTATTCTTAAGAGCCTTGTGGGTTCTGCATCATGGGAATCTGATGTAGTTATATACAAGCTGGATGGAGGAAATCTTGTAGCTTATGTTATTGGTTGATGTTAATAATCTCATCCTCAGCTGATCCAGAATGGTCTGATTTGAACTGTTTTGATAGGTAGGACCTGGGCATTGGACCACATAAACTTTAAAAGCTTGGATTTTGTTGTGAGGTGATGTTCTTTGCTGTCAAGGCATAAATAGTGTTATTTTTTTTGTTAGTGATAGAACTAGACATTGGATAGTAGTATTTTAAACTGAGTGATGTCTTACCCTATTAGAATGGAATGCATATAAAATGCCTTCTGTGTCTTTGAGATGCACTGGGCACAGGGACATTTGCAAATTTCCTGTAGTAAATCTCGTAAAAACTTGTTGCTTCTACTCTGTAAAGGTTTAGTTATTGCATCATGAACTGTTAGAAAAACCCGTACCTTTAACTAGGGAGAGGGAAAGTTCATGCAAGAAAACAAGTAAACAAAAAGTAGTACCCTCTTGAGATTATAAAATCCTAAATTGCCATGCTGAAATATCTGAGTAGAGACACTTGGGCGTTTTTCAGCGCAGTAAAAAAGTTTCTTCCTTGACCAGCCAGTTCATCACATGCTTAGCTCACCTGGTGAGCAGGTGAGAATTTATAGAAGAGCAGGTTGGATTTCCCAGGAATCCTGTGAGAATCTCCTGTTAGGTGTTCAGATGGGAATGTGCTTTTGAAGACTAAAGTATGAATGTTAAATTGTTACTTACAGGGATACATTCGCATTCTTGTTTTTCTATAGGTAAACAAGAGTGTCTAACATGATATGAGGTTACATTCACTGTACAGGCATTTTATTCTGGATTTCACAGTTCATTATTAAGTAGCATTGCCTTCTCTTCTTTCAAGCTAATAAGGCATGTAAGTTAAATAGATGAATGAAATATTTTCACAGAGACATGGAAAAATTTAACTAATCTAAGATAGTTAGGCTTTAGTATTTTGGCTTTAACAGAAGTCAGTAGGGCTAAAAATACTACAAGATCAAAGTGCATGAAGGAAGTGTGTTCCTGTATATAATGGTGTGTATATGTTTAAACTTTCTAAATGTTTGATCCTTAGGAAGCTAATGGGGGCATGGGATCAGTTCTCTGCTCTCATCTGTCAGATAGAAATGGGAGTGGAAGGGCTGCAGTAGAGGAGGGCAAGGCAGGAGGTGCAGGAAGCCACGGGGAATCCCTGGCTGAGACACAGCATGGGTAAGTGGCTCCTTGGTCAAACCTCACATTTGAGATGTCGCCTGGAATCTATTTTTAGCATGACTTAGGAATTTATGTGTGTCCAAATTGCCTTTTGTGGTGTTCATACTGTTGGAAATGCCATGTTGCAGGAAAAGGCTAACAAAGAGTACAAGTAGTTTCTAAAATTAGTGGTCCTGAAGGGTTTTGACCTGACTTTTCAGTTTCTGATGGAGTTATCATCCTCATCCTTTGTGCTCCCTCTGCTGGGCATGCTGTCAGGTTAATTTAGAGCAGACACCATTTATATGAGGCAGCTGCTAGTGACAACAGTAATATTCTGATCCTAATTAATTTACATTGCAGGGTTTTGTTTGAACACTTAATAGGCTTCTTCCTTTCCACACATTAGGAATAAAGTAGGGAGAAATGTGGTTTTTTAGATCCTGGACACTTTGCTTTACTGTTTCCTGGGACACAGAATATTACTTTTTCCTACAATGTTCTTCTGCTTAACTGGTAAAAGTCTCTTGAGCAAATCAGTTTTGCAAGTTAAATCCTATGAGAATTTAGCACATGGAAAATTTGGGTATGAAAGTGGATGGAACTCGTAGCTTCCCCCAGAAAACACATTAGATGGATAAGAAACAAGTGCTTCTAATTGGCTTTATGTGCAAGAGATGAGAGCATTCAGTTTCTAGATCAAATTATAAATGAAAAACAAATATATTAAATTAAGACCATATTTTCATTAATGCTTTACAAATATATATATATATATATTTCTGTGGAACCGATGTGATTTTGTACTTATGGGCATAAGTTTACATTTCTGTTTTAAATGAATTTTACTATTTTGTGACTGGGTAACTGTCAGAAAACATGCAAAAATCTGGAACTGTTCCTCCCCAGCCTGAGGTTATCCAAGAATTAGTGCTATTTTAAAATAAATGCTGCCCTAGTCTAAGAATTATTTTTTCTCTTTTCTGGTATCAGTTATATTGGGCTTGCTTCCTACTTTTTAAGCATTTTTGATGACTAGAAAGGTATATTTTCCTACTGAGATTTTAATTGTGCTGAATGGTGTTGATAGATACCAGTTTGTCATTCATCCTGCCAAAATCATAATGTCTTTACAGTGATGTAATCAATAAAGTTAATGGTATGACACAGTCAGGGAGCTCCTGTTTTCACAGAGCTCTCTGAAATGTTAAAGACTTTTTACATAAAGACCTCTGAGCAGTCCATCCACAGACAGACCTCTCAGCGAATTCACATCATGAGTTTAGTCTATAACACAGGCTACCTTTAAAATTTAAAATTGCACAATTGTTCTCTTTCCTCTGTTAATTTCTGGTTTAAGATTGACATGAACTATCTCTTGGAAACTCAATATTTAAAAGTAAGCTGTTTCACTCATTCAAACGGGATGCAGGGATTTTTCATCAATCTACTTTGTTTGGTTTTATGTGTTTTTATTTTGACATAGGTGTTTTGTCAGTTTCTTATCTCCCATCCTTCAAAGAGCTTTTAAAACTTGCGCTTCAGATAAGGATTGCGAAACAGGATTCAGGTGGATTTGGGGTGAAAGTATGTGATTTCATAAAAATTGCCTGGAATGAGAAACCTTATTAAGTATTTCTTTCATTTTCTGTATGTTTAATGCAAAAGTGGCTTTGTTTACCACCTTAACTCCAGCTAAACTTACCCTCTGAACTCGGAGAGTGACAACGTGACCAGCTACATCTGTGTGGTCCCCTTTAAGGAGCTGGGTCTGGGACTGAGTGAAGAGCAGGTCTCTGAAGAGGAGGCACACAATCTGACTGATGGCTTCAGCTTGCCTGCACTCAAGGTAAGTTCTCCTAGAAGGGCTTAATACATCCATGCAGGCTCCTGGTGAAAATCTTTCTCTTGTCATGAAGTCCTGTGGCTTGTACATCGTAGCCTGTAGCAACACACTGAATTGAGGGTAAGGTGTAATCAGTCAGGCTCTTATCATGTGTTTCTACATTTATCAGCATTCACCTGATTTCTTTGTGCATGTAGAGAAAGAGAAGTTACTCAATACAACATTAGGATATTTTTCTGCAAGTCATGGAAATTCAAGTCAGTGTTCTATAATCAGTTTGATCAACCCCTTAAACATGATTTTTTGCTCTCTGATTTCACCTGATCCCAGCTGAATAAAATAATTTCTGTATTTGTACTTAATTAATTTTTTATCTAATCTCTTGATGTGAATAAAAAGAGATACATCAAAAATCACAAATTAGTTGTAAATGCCAAAGGGAGTAGCTGCATTTAGTCACACTGAGGAGCAGAAATCATAAGCTTGGACCCCTGCTGCCATGAGCCAGTGTGGTTCTTTGATCTTTGCAAAACTTTTAACTGAACAGAGTGACAACCATATAATGGCCTTTTTATCTATTTTGTTTTGAGATGTTAGGGTTTTTTTATTTGCGTGAGTCAATTGGAAGGAAGATCTAATTTGAATGCAAGCCTTCTATTCTCTAATAACCCTCTGCTAGGGCAGTTCCCCTTTAGCATTGTCTTTTTTAATGGAAAATTCCATTATTATATGACTTCTGTGTTTCTCTGGGGTTGGCTCTTGTTGCATTTTTTTCTCTTAATTTATAGACCTTGACTTCTTTTGTTCTGACAGTAAATTCTACCAGTAATAGTGATTACTAAGCTTTGAGGCTTTGTCTAATTAGCTTTAAGCTAAGAGCTACAATAAATAGCAGCTTTTGGGATTTTTCTTCTTGCATTTCATTAGCTGAAGTTCTAATTGCAACCATGTAAGCCTGCTAATTTACCCACTTGTTTTTAAGCACAAGAAGCCAGTCAGAAGTGCCCAGGCTTGTAAGCTAAGCCTTTGTTTACCTGCAACTTGCAGTAATTTAACTGAACTCTGTTTTAGTTAAACTGGTTAGGATGCTTTCTGGTTACAGTTACATTTACAACTAGTAAATCTCAATTTATGGTAACTCATAACAGCCAGCAATGTAGGCCGGGTGTGGTATAGCTGAACCAAGCTAAATTAACATACATCAGTCCTAAGCAGATTCCTGTGTAGGTATAACATACTTTGATAACCTTGGGACATATTTGTGTGGTGAGCCTTGGATGTTTGTGCAGACCTCAGGAGTTTTTCTTCCCCTTTGAGAGAATTTGTCTTTCTATTAAAATGCAGGTCATGCTAAGCCATATGACAAATGTAGCATGTGTCTTTTGGCTACCTTGTCCTTGAAGTAAAGCAGTTTAAAGAGTGAAAATTTTTCACTTAAGAAAAAATTCCTAGTTTAAGCTGAGGAAAGGTGGATATTTTGTGTCAGCAAAGATCATCAGTAGTTATTGGCAGAGCAAGCTGCTTGCAAGCATAAATACATCTGGAATTTACTTTTCTCTTGTCATTGTGCTTTTTTTCAGGTAGGTTCTTGATTATTATTATCAGTTCCTGAAGTCCACTATTTCTGTGTGCTACTTTTTTACTGCCTGTGATTTATGTCTGGTCAAAGGGATTGGTCTTCTTTTGTGCTTATTACAGCATGAGCTTTTGATTTTTTATCCAGGGCACCACACGTTCAGAGACACTTGAGTGATTGCTGCTCATTTGTTTGCTTTGTATTTTTGCACCCAGCCAAATCAGTCTTGCATGTGTACCCCAAATTAATTTCATGTCATTCATGTATTCTTTTTTCTCATGAGCATCTTTTGTAAATTGAGATTTCTTTTTTTCTTTTGAAATACTTTCTCAGTTTGCATCCAAGTATTTTTGACATGATGAGTCAATGTTTTGTCTTCCTTGGTCTGGAATGCTTGTGAACAATTTTCAGTCTGCACCTCATAATCACCTACAGCTGATCCCTTTTAATAGGGGCCATTATTCCAGAGAGAAGTATCATAACCTTTCCTTTTCATTTTAGACATAAAAGGTGCTGCTGTACTGTCATGATCTACTGAGCAAACTTCTCTAAACTAAGAAAACAGTTCTTTTCATTTCATTGGAAGTGGAAGTTCTCAAGAAATTGAAATTTTGGACTGCCTTGCTCCCAGATGGACTGGCCTCTTTTGTACCATATATGACATTGTGAACCAATCCATTTCTTAAAAGCCTTTCCTTCCTTAGTAGTATTGGTGGAATTTCTTACTTTGGCTGAAAAAAGTTAGCAGCTCAACTTTCTTCAGATGTAGAATATTTTTTTGTTGAGTACAGTGCAATTAGGCTCATGTTTCAAGGTTGGGTGTGGGGCAATGCAGTAGTTATTAGATTGTAGAAATGACAGCTTGGCCTTATAAAGGGAAAAATGTCTTTGCTGCCGCTGGAATTTTGGCAGCCCTTTACGAGCTGTAGGGTATGTGGAGATTATAGCAAATAATGAAACTGGCCGACGGGAATATGAGGTTTGGGACTCTGACAACTTTATGAGCATAATTGCGTTTAATATCCTTCATCAAGGAATTAACAGTCACCTAAGGTTCACAAGATCTGAACCTCACGTGCTCTGGAATACCCTTCAAAAACAGTCAGCGGATTTTTGCAGTTTTTCAAAGTTCCTGTTGCCGGCCAAGGAGTGTTTTCCCATGGTGTATCTGTACATTTACTTTGGAAGCTGACCGCCTTCCCAGGTGCACAGAGCTAACCCTACCCTGTTTTGCAGGTCCTCTTTCAGCTGTGGGTAGGGCAGAGTTCAGAATTTTTCAGGAGGCTGGCGCTGCTGCTGTCCCCGGCCAACGCGTGCCCCGAGCCCTCGGCGTCCCCGGAGCGGCTGCCTCACCACATCCTGCGCGACGTGAGCCAGGGCCTCCCGCACACGCACGCCGCCTGCCTGGCGGAGCTCAGGAGGAGCTACGAGTTCTACCGCTACTTCGAAACCCAGCACCAGGCGGGCTTGCAGTGGCCAGCCAGGAGCAAGCAGCAGTGCAGGGAGCTGAACAGTCTGCAGACGGCGGTGCGCAGCTTGCAGCTGCATCTCAAGGCCCTGCTCAATGAGTACGTTTACACGTGAATAACAGAGTATGCAGGAGGCTTTGCATTTGAAGTTCTTTGGGCTGTCAGCTTGTATCCCCAAGTAAAAGCAAAAAAGTCTTTGCAGTCACAGCCATATCTTTACATAGTATGGGCTCAAAGGTCCTTGGTTTACTGTAGAATCTGATATTTTTCCTGGGTATTCTTTGAGTTTGTGGTGAAAACTTTAAGATAAGCAGCACTAAGATTTTGCCTTGCTTCTGTGACTCCCTTATAAAAATATGAAAACATAATTACCTTCCATTGATTTTTATGCTTTATAAGAACATTCAGCTCATAGTAACTAACTAGTAAATATCCTTAAAGATTTGTCACTGCCTTGGTGAAACAGTTGAGACTGTCCTACTCCTTTAATCTTACATATAAGGATTACTATAACAATTGCAGGTTAACAATGTATCTTGATGTAGGAAAAAATATTTTAATTTTAAAATTTTGGGGCATCTTTGAGGAATTGACTGAGGTGGGTTCTTAAAACTTGAAGGAAATAACAGTATATTACATTAAATAATTGAAAGAATGGTGAAATATTTATTATTACTTACTGCTGTTTGCCTCCTCATTACTTAGGGTAATAATTCTTGAGGATGAGCTTGAAAAGCTTGTTAGCACTAAGGAGACACCCGAGTTGACAACAGAAGCCCATCAGGTTCTGGAACAAAAACTAAAGTTTATTCAGCCTCATATCCAGGCAAGCAACAGCTGCTGGGAAGAAGCCATTTCTCAGGTGGAAAAAATGAGTGGAAGAAACCCAAATAAAAAAGGTAAATGTGAGAGATTAATTTAGGAGCTAATGGGATACACTTCAGAGATGAAACAGTCAAATGAATCAGTGACAGTGTTCAGCCTGTGTATCAGAATTTTAGCTGAAGAAGGTCTTAAAACCATACACTTTGAAAAACTGTGTCCTTACATCAGACTTTTCCATTGTGATGGCCTTGAAGCTTTTGTTTCAGCAAAAATGCAACCATGTTAACTCAGTCTGTTAGACCTGTGGATTCAGATGGTTACATTTTCAGGTGTAGACTCATCATGGCTTTTTGCCTTTGATGGGTGAATCACCTGTGAAGGGATAGGATTTTAATGAATCGCCTTCAAGATTTTCATTGATTTACTGCATTAAAATGATGCCATTAATTGAAATGATAATGACATTGTCATGAAACTTTTTTGACAATCACATTTCCTAGAACATTTCAAATCATGGAGCACATGTTGAGCATATAATATCCATTTATCTTGTCTCTCAAAGAGAGTGAGCTAACCTTTGGTGTTCTTAAAAGTCTTTGTGAGCAGCATATCCCAGCATTTTGTTTCTTGTCCCTCTCATTAGGGATCTGTACTGCCCATGCTGTTCTTGTGAAGCATAACCAGCTTAAATAACTGAAGTGAACTTAGGCTCTCCTGACATAGAATTGAACCTGTAATTTCTAATCTTTCTTTTTTCCAGGAGCATTTTTACTGTCCTAGGAAGGCACAGCCCAGCATCTGAAAAATGCTGGTAATGGAGACTGCACTAGGAAAATTGTCAGGGGGAACTTAGGGTATCAGCAAGTTACCTACAGAAATCCAAATCTGAAGTGCACTCTGCTCTTAATGATGTATGGGTGGAATATCCAGTAGATGGATAAATATTGCTGTGGGCCTAGAGGCAGGCAGGCCAAGCTTGTTCATGCTTACATCAGAACTGGGAGCACTGGGAGGCTTCTTGGAGGCTCTGTGCAGGTCCAGACATGGTATAAACAAACTCCTGTACTTTGCCTGATAGTGCAGTCTTACAGCTTCCCCCTCAGTGCTGTGTAAAACAGCCTGTGAGGATGTTAGATGTAGCCTGATATATTTGCATGTGTTGACCTGTTGTGTTTTGTTGACACCCTCCACAACCTGCAGTTCCACTGATCTTTCTCCCCTTTCCTTAAAAGTTCTTTCTAGACTACACACCATAGTATTTTTAGTTATTTTAGTTTTATTTTTACTTTGTGTATAAATTTCACAGCAGGCGTTTTTATTATAACTTGCTTCCTTTTAAAGTTCAGTGCAAAAATAACCTTGTGTGTGATCTAGAAGGAAGGGATTGCGTGGGAAATAAAAAATATAATAATCCTTCACTTTAGCCCACTTGCTTTCCTGGAAATGTGCTGGGATTGAACCTCTATTTTGCAACAAGTTTACTGAACTAATCTACAGAAGCTACTTTAAATTATTTTGGTCATTGAAAACTATATTTATCTGACAACATTTGACTTTCCTGATATATTTCTAAGCCATCCAGCTTCTGCGAGTTGACCCTGTCAAGCTGTACATGAAATCAAGTTCCATTCTTTTGCTGTCTTCCTACAGATTTTAACAGCTGGTCTGTCAGTCATGTTATGTACATTACTTCAATAAATTCTCTTCTTTTTTTCAATACTTTCTGAAAACTCTTTGGAGAAGATACTTTCCTGTTGAATAAATATAACAGCTCAGCACAGCTTTTCCATTTATGCATTACTATCCAAAACTAAATCAATCTTTTGACAAGAGCTGTTTCAAGAACCCCACGGGCTTAGAGCATTTTGTCTAAGTGGATGCTGAGCACTTCTGCTGCAATAGATACTTAGCTCAACTAACTAGTTCAGCCAGTAGAGCATCTGTATAAAAGCAGTACATGCTTCTTGCCCTGAATCATTGTATGTCAGAGCTGGTTTCTTACAGGTACGTTAAACAGCCAAAGCAAAGCCTTTCAGAATCACAGCCTCCTGTCAGCCTCCTGTCAGCCTGTCATTGGTGGTGACACCAGCATGCATCTTATATTTTAGCATACAGTTCCTTCAGGGAATGCACTTTGGCTTCTTTCTTTACATGATTTGGTGTATTTCTAGAATCAGTGCCTTTAGTTACTCACTGATCCTGTCAGGTACAGAGCAGAGCCTCAGAACAAGTGGGACTTGCACATTTAAGGGAGATCACCTCTGTTTAAATTCCTTGGGCAATGATGGACCTATCTATTATTCATCTACATGTACATCTTTGCTCATTTCCTAGAACTTTCAGCTTCTTTATTCTTTCACATTTTTTTCATCACTAATAAAATGTATCACTTAAAGATTCAACAATTTAAGCATGTAGTAATCTACTGCTAATATTATGGAATGGAGTACTCTTTATGGCTAGTTACAGCATTGTATTAATGATCTTTGAAACAATGGCCCTCAAACTGTTTAAATTCTGTCCTTTTTCATTTTAAACCATCTTTGCAAATGTACACAACTTTTTTAGATATTTATAAGAGCAAGGCTGTGGTACTCTGCTGGAATCTCACCATCCCTACGTGTTCAGTGTATAGATTAGAAATGGAAAATAGGGTTAGGTGGAGCTTGGCAACCCATTTCCCTTCTCAAGGTAAATCAGTATTTGTGAGTAAATGCTGTTTACGTCTTCTTAAAAATCTCTTTTTAGAGACATTTTACAGTATTTCCAGGCATCTATTCCAGCACTTAATTCCATTACCAGTAGAATGTTATTACTGAATAGAAGTACTTCTTGCTGCAATTTAAAAGCCGTACTTCTGATCCACTCACAATGGAAATCCATTTCCTCTTGATGGTTCTTACGTTCTCAAAGATGATTATTACGCTTCTTTCTGTCTTCTCTACATAACTCCCTATGCTTCAGCTCTTTCCTGATGACTATGCTTTATTTAGTCCTCTTTATAATTTCCAGTGTTTTCCTCTATGTTCCCTCTAGTTGGCCCACTACGTTACTGAATGAAGGGGCCCCAGACTGGGCAGTATGTTCCATCCACAGCCCGATCAGTGCCAGAGTAGAAATGTTATTTCATATGTCTAACATGTTGCTTGTATGTGCTAGTTTGTAATTTGGCTTTTTGCTTGCAGTGGGGTGGAGCTGATGGTGAGGCTCCTCACCTCTTTCTCAGTGGTGCTCCCCAGTCAGTTCTGATGCATTTGTGCATTTGGCTATTCCAAAGCACAGAAGTTTGCAGCCATTGTCACCAAACTGCTGGGTCTGAAATCCATTTCTACCTGGGTTGTATCTCTGATTTTCCAATATTATTTTTTATTCTAGTGATGCCCTTCAGTGTTCTTGCAGATTATCCCCAGATCAGCAGATTTAATGAGATGCAACACCTCTCTTTCACCCATTGGCAATACTGGAGAATATTGGACTTGAGACAAATCCTCACTCAATGTATTCCAGTCTGAAAATGGTAATCATGCTGTAATGATCCAAGAAGCTGTTCTATGCACTTAATAGCAACTTTTCCTGGCCTTTGCATTTTCCTTATAAAGATGTCATGACGCCATGTCAAAAGTCTTTCTGAAAACAAAACGCAGGATGTCTTTGGTTCTTTCTGTACGCGAGACCTGTTACTGCATTGCAAAATTAACATCTTCTATTTTCAACAAATCCACACTGGCTGTTATTTGTCTCCTTGCTACCTTGCAAATACCTTCCTGTAAACTTTCCTTAATTATTTCTTCCAATATTTTCCAGTCATTTGAAGCTGTTTTACCTATAATTTTTTCTAAACTTCCGAAGAAAATCTCTTCTCTGGTTTTACTGATGTTGCTTGCCCTCTGCAGGTTTTCAAAGTCTATAAAATTTCTGAGATTTGTTAGTTGAAGTGTTTCAGCACAAGTTCCATTGGATCCAGCTTCTATAAAAACAGCCAAGTTACTTAAGTGCTGTCTAACAGTGTTTCAGTGTAACCTAACCACCCTTCTCACCATTTTTTTCATGTATGCAAATCCTGCTTATGAAAATACCTGGACCCTGCCTGAGTGAGTCAGAAACATTCAATACTCAATTTTATTTCTTTTAAATCCCTTTTCTTTTTTCCCCTAAAGGCAAAATTGAAGTTTCCTGTGACAACCTACAGCATACTGCAGTACCTTTAACACAGCCTGCCATATACATAGAAAACAAAGATCCAATCCCTGAAGAGCAGGTAACAAAAAAAAAGGGATAATTTAAAATACATTTAAAATAACATTTGGGGATTATTTGCTGCATCCATTCTTTTTTTCAGTTGCTTGTGCAGTGACCTTGTTGTCTTGCTGAGACAGACAAGTGGCCAGTACCACTTCAAAATTGGACTTGTGGAAAAAGTTGTGTACATTCCGTTTGCTGTTCCATGGGGAGCTATTCCCCATCCTGGAAAAAAGAGCACTAGTATTCATTTCTCATATATATGATTAGAACTGAGTGACCAAAGGAGAGCAGCAACACAAGTCAGAGTAATAAAAAGTGAGAATTGCTAAAAGGCAGTATATGAAATAGTCCTACTCTTGCTGGATAAACAGACACAGCTGCAAAAGTGACAACTCAAGCACAAATCATCCTGCCTTCAGTTTGCTTACTCTCTGCATTTTTGGATATATTTTTCCTGTAACACTGAATAATTTTGTGTTGTTTGAGGAACTCCGGGGTGATGGATGGGCTGTCTTAGAGAGGTGGACTTCCTCCATCCCAGAAGTGAATGGCAGATGCATTCTGAAAGCACAGTGAACACCCATGCTCTGCTCTGTCCCTCCTTTGCTTCTCCCCCACATGTATTCTCTCTAGCTGTTTTTCCATATCAAAAAGCTGGGGCTAATTACTTTATTGAAAATTTGTTATAATATAAATGCTGCTCTGTTTTTTTATGCTTGTAATCCAATACATTTAAAATTGGCAGAGAAGTTTGCTATTCTCTATATCTCTTAATAAGGATTTATGTATGTTAAATTACCAAGATGCATGACTACCAGGAACTGGTTACAATGTAAATTAAAAAAAAAAAAAAAAACCCCACATCAGCATTGCTTATTTCCACCTGTAATTACAGAGAAATGGTCTCCCATTTTCAAGGTATATCACTTAATCCTATTTGTGTATGAAGGTAAATCTCGATAGTGAGTGGACTTGCTCCAAAATCGTACAGATACTACCAAGAGCAGGGTCAGGTCCACTGGCTCTGCTCAAACAGGGCTCCATCCTATTACTGTGGTTGGTTTGTGTTGGCATCACTTGATCATGAATCAGATTGTAGGATTGAGTGCAGCTGACAGTGAAGATCAAGAGTTTCTTCCTTTCTTTCTTTAGGAACTGGAAGCATATGTTGATTATTCAGATACAGATAATGAATACAAAAGGGAAGATTTTTACTGCTTCTCCCAAGAAGAAAGAGAGAGGCAAGAGCGAGAGAGACAGGAATCTAAGAGGGTGTTACAAGAATTGAAATCTGTACTGGGATTCAAAGCTTCAGAAATTGAAAGACAGAAGTGGAAACAGCTACTATTCAGTGAACATGGTAAGCATTTTTTTGAAAATTAATTCCTTCCTTAAAAAACATGGGTGTCTGTTTGACATGAATTTCTGACTGTTGGAATTCAGACAGTGCTTAGCTGTAGTAGTGTCTTTGATAGAGCTGTGTGGTCTTAGTTGCCATTCCATCTTTTTATAGTTTAGCAATCATTTTACTATATATTGAAATGAACTCGTAGAAGTGAGAATTTGGCTTTAAACAAAACACTGAGCTAAAATATTAAATACACAAAAATATTAAGACATAAAGAAAGCTGTCAGGATATAAACCATGCAGATTGAACTGACTTTCTTTCATGGCTTTCCAGTAAATAACGAATTTTTATCAGGGTGCATAAATAAATTACTTTTCAGAATTTAAAGAAACCAGCAGAAAAATTATCCTGGACGTACAAAAGTATGTAGGTTAAACTGAAGAGCTAGACTTCTAAATACTAGAGAAATAACTGGCTTTTGTTTCCATGAGGTGTGAATACAGAATATGTTCACAAAAAAAAAAAAAAAAAAAAAACCAAACACAAACCACCTAAGAAGACGAGTTCTTTCAAATTAGCCTTTACTAATTTTGAAGACTGCTGAGTATCTCCATTCATTTGCACTTGAAAGCAGGATATGAAAATTTCTCTTGACTTAACAAGACAGCTTGTCTGTTAAAACTTGATTCCTCTCACTGCTTGAGCTATTTGATCTACTCTCTTTAAAATTGGCAGGAGTTTCTTTTCCTTTTTCTTATTTTCATTTCTTCCTCTTAAAGACAGATTAGGAAAAGCTTTCTAAAATGTTCCATGTTCTGTGTTATGCAAAACAACCCTCAAGTCTGGCACCATGTCCGAGGATTCTGCCCCTGACAGTGTCTACCAGAAAAATGACCATGGATTGCAAATTTTCAGTAATTTACTAGGAACACAAAGTAACAGACCAGACCATACCTATTTGTGAGAGTGTCTCTTTTGATATCAAACTATCAAAAATATCTGGTTTTAGCAATGTTTTTCTTTATATCCATAAAGCTACAACTGTGGTAAAAGAGATCACTTGACCATCCAATAGGTACTGATTTCTCTTCTAGTTGCATTAGAAACCCGAGACATCAAATTGCACCAGAGTTTTCTCAGGAGTAGGATTTCAGTATTTCTGTTAGATAAAACACCACACAACTCTTCACATAAATTTCTTCAAGTCTTCATTTCCTAACTGCTGGAGGAAGAAGTGATCCTACCTCCAGCTCAAGTCTTCACAGACCTAGTGAAACTCTTGCAGAAAGAGTTTTTGTCAGGAGAACCTGCCTAGGACATTTCCTTACCTAAGCAGATAATACTTGGCCTGAGCAGGTAATACATATCAGCATATCCTCAGGCCATCTGTGGCCATAGCTGGGAAGAGTCAACTCACTCCTGTAGTTTGCAGTAACTCTTCACCAGAAAGCCTTTGTGGCTCATGTTGGTTCCTTTTCCTTTCCTATTACATTGGTTTAGGATTAGAGATAAAAGGGTGAGGAGGGAAGAAAGTATGATTTTCTCCAGCTGCATAGGAGTAATCATAGATTATTTCCATCCTGTACACACGTGGAAAACATGAGGGCACTTCAAGAAAGTAGTTACTATTGTCTTCTGTTGGCTCAGACTGTGTGTGTCTGACCTGACAGACTGATATGTACACCTGATATAACATCTTCTACTGGTTTTTAAGAAAATCCTTCACTATTTCTTCAAAAGAAGCACAAGTCAGTAAATATGATATCATGGTGCAATTTATCCATACACAAGTCAGTCCTTAAGGAGGCATTTATGTGATCTGCACTTTCTACATTTCTGACTTGCCTTATCTTGAAGATTGAAAGCCAGAAAGGTTCATATTCTTGTCTCCATTGGCCCAAGCCAATGGATGGCCATTATACCACTTTTCCATAGTCCTCTTGAATCTTGCTTTTACAGGACAATCAAATTCCAGAAATCCTGTGTTTTCCTAACTTGTGATTATTGTGGAAAAATATCCTGAAATATTCAAAGGCTTTAATCTGTTAGTGAAGGCACCCAGCTAGCCATTCTGACTTGTCCTAACAAAGACATGAGGGGTTTTGATTCATTTAAGGAGGGGTGAGGGTTTCCACATAATAGGTCAGCTCCAAACAAGCTGATACATCTTAGGAGCACAGCATGAAGTCAATTGGAGGTGATAGGTTGGATTCCAGAAGAAAATATCATCTTAGCAGAGCACTAGACTAAAGGAAGTTTTCCAAGGCCCAGTATCATGGTAATACTTCTTACAGTTTGGGTAATAGGTAGTTTATGGGAGTGTAGGTGAGCTTACGTTTCTGGTCCTTTGGCCTTCTGTTGAGCCACTACATGGAAGTGCTTTTAAAAGGTCTGCTAAGTTTTTAGTAGCTTCATTTCCATTTGTCAAACACTGTAAAACAACTTTCTTCTGCTGCAGAATCACTTCTAGCCTTTCCCTAACCTCTCCCCTGAAAAAAAGTTCATTCTGTCGGTGGTTGTGTTGTATCCAGCTGTTTTCCCTTCTCCCACCTTGTCCATACAACAGTTGTTATATAGCTATTTATCAGATTTGGAAAGCCATACTCTCAAAACTGATGAATTTCACCCTGTTTATTAATTTGTAAACTCCACAAATTGGCCAGCTACCAATCTCAAGTTTTTTGGGTTTTTTTGAGAAATTTTGCCTTTCAAAGTATTCTTTGGAGGAAGTAGGCAAGAAGTTTGCTCCCAAATGATAAGATTACTGTGCATATTCCTGTCTCTTCAAGCAAATGTGCAGAAATAAGTAGCAACATCTTTTTTCCAAGACAGGGAAAGAACTACTCCATAAACAACTGAGACGAGTCTGATGCAGTGCTCCTTTGATAGATAAGGTTTTAAAGCAAACAGTACAATACCCATTCAATGCCACATTCTTTCAGTGTGCTAATGACAATAGTTATCAATGTGACAACCATAACAATGTGCCTGCCTTCAGCTAGCTAAAGTTAATATTACTGAAATAGGATGCAGTTGAAAAATCCTAATACCGTAAATTTTGCTTCCCATGAAAAGTTTGTGTATTTCCCAGAGTTATTTTCATCTCTGCTTGCAGGGGTAAAGTCAGAATGGAATTAGAAAGGGAAATGCAACTTGGGAATCTGCTGTTGCCGCTCTCATTTATGTTCGTGCTGCTACTATAATGGAGCTGCTGCAGTTAATTTAGGGAATCTGTTACTTGGAAATGGACATTATATCATTTTCTTAAAATGAAAGCCGCCTGTTCTTCAAGGAGTGATTGTACCGAGTTACACTAACCCGTAACACTGGGAGGAGAGACTTCCTGGCAAGCATCCCGTTGCTGGCAATGGGACTCGCTGCTGCTACTAACTTCAAGAGAGGCTAAACTAAACCACACTTTATTTGTGAGGACACCTGACCTGACTGTGTGGATATGTGTTGTATTTGTATGTTGTGCTCTATGAGATAAGATATTGCCTATAAGGACGTTTTCATATACCAGCTGTCTTTAGTAGATTAGGTAAACTATTGTTCACAAGAACACAATTAAATCTGTATGCACTACAGTGGTTTTACTTGGGTTTTGCTTTAACACTGAATATATCCTCTGTGTTTGATGCTGGCTTTAAACACCACAATTTTGTGCTGTCTCTTCACATCACAGATTTTAAGGAAGAGTTACAAGTAGCCTTCACATTTCACTTCAGCTTTGTGATTAGAAAACACTTCTTAAGTTTTGGTGTGGGTTGTGTTTCTGTTGTTTTCGGATTTTTTAAAGTAATTTTAAACCTTATAGTCTTGCATCTTTTCAGGCAAATAAATTATTTGTATATAGCAGCTCACTTTGAGTTATCATTTAATTTTTTCCCCCTTTTTAAGCTGCAGTGAAACCCTTGTCTCCTGTAGAACCATTGAAGCTACTAAATAATGTGGAATCACATATGAATTCAGATACAGAAAAGCAGGACTGCAGCCAAAGTTGTGATAAATCTGAAGAAAAAGACTCTAATCCAGAAGTGAATGCTGCTGATAAAAGCAGGACAGAATATTTGTACGAAGATCCTGAGATGGAGAAAAGCAAAGACAGTATTACAGATAAAGATGTTCCTACGGGGGCTGAAGAAAGAATGTATTATCAGTGTGAAGGGGATGCTGAAGAGCTCAAGCCAAGCAGTGTGGATGGAGTAGAGGCTTCACAGCCTCCCTCTAAGGATGCATTACATTCAAAAATCAAGGATAGGCTGGCCCAGCTCCACATATCAACAGATTTTAACTTCACATCTGGTCTGGCTGCACAAGTTGCTGCCAGGTCTTTCACTTTTACTACAATGCAGGAAGAGACTTTTGGAGATGATGGGGAGGAGGAGGAGGAGGAAGAAGAAAAGACACAGGAGAATGAAGACCTTGTGGAGAACTGTGAAAATGAAGAGAGAGGCTCTGAAAGTGAAGGAAAAGTATAAGTCTGAGCTGAACTTTATTAAACTAACAGCAGGCAGTTTGATGAAAAAGAACTAAGGTGGGGGGTTGAAGGTGAAAATACTGGATGGAAAAAAAAGGAGAACTAAATAGAATACATCATGTTCCCTAAGACTGATACACTAAATAGGACTTCTAAGTATATTGAAAATTTGCAGGTAAGAGAAGTTTGGGCTGCATCCAAGAAATAGATGGCTGTCCCTTTTTAAGATCCTAGTGACAGGGGTTGGAATTTACCTTTGTGTTTTCTGTTTTATTTATTTATATTATGACATATTGTAGTTTTTCGTTTCTAAAAAAAAAGGAAAAACAATGTTTTCATTTACAACAGACTCCATTTTTTTGCTCTCTGATTCTTTTGTCATGGTATCAATGTTTGTTCCAACAAAAACAGCCAGGACATTTCTTTTGGAAGAACCTGAACTGTTCCCTGTGATCTTTCCCCACCACTTTTGTTTCACTTCTTGTGTCTTCAGTGTGTTGGCTAAGCCATGATAGGTATTTGTGATTCTGCAACTAGTGATGTGGCACCCAGCTAAAATGTAGAATTTTAAATAAAAACTTGAAAGAGCTAGTATTTCATGTGTCCTGGGGTATGGGGCTGAAACAGTATAAAGTTAGTCATGCTTCATATTAAGGTTTATTTAGAATTTTATGAAGGGTTAATAAATGATGTCCATAAATTGTAATTCATGTTAGAGAAATATGTTGTAAGTAAATTTTAGGGAAGGTTATAAGCACACCAGTGGAAAGTACTATAGATAGCTAGAAGCTATCTGTTGGATTGACAGAGATGAGAAGTAAACACCTATTTATTAAGCCAGCTATTAATTGTTTGTTAACCTTTTGTAAACTGAACCTTAATGTAATTGTTTGATTTGACAGAATGACCGATTGTACATTTTTGCTTATGTCCTGAAGTAATTTTCTTAAAGGAAAGAGAGCTCAACAACATGCAGTGTTTTGTTTGAACACCATACTTGCATTTCTCTAATGTTCTTTCACTTTTCCTGAGATCACAACTTTAACCTGTGAGATTAAGAATCCATGAGAGAATTACAGTTGTGTATTTTGTTTATTTTAAGTTAGTTAACTGATGATGAAGTCTGGATGTTTGGTATGAGGTTATGCCAGTTGCCTTTTTCTCTGTAGTGGTGTTACAAGGAGCAGGAAACTGATGCTCACAGAGGAGCTGGTTAATGGTTTCATTACCGTCTCTTCCTTTTACTCTCTGACACAACATGAAGCAAAGCTCCCATGTCTCTAATGGCGAGAGCACCACTTCTTTGTGTGGAATACTCTGCTTGGACCCAGATACACTTCCAGGACAAAACACTGCATCAGTTACTTAGAGTATTTATGGCGTTTTGCAGATTCTATAGAGTAAAGGGCTTTTTAAATGCTGGTGGTGCAGAGAAATATCTTTCCTAGGATGGCATCATGGAGAGCGGGGAAGGTAACGCCGGTCAGCAGGTTAGGGTGGAACTCTTGACAGTATGTCAGAAAACAAGTGTTTTCTTTCAACACCCTGGCCTGTATTAGTGATTTTGCATGAACACTGTGAAATATGTGGACTTTTTCATGGATGGTAAAGAGGGAAATTGATAGAGAAGGGAGTATGACTTACAGTGTTCTTTCACTGTACAATGCCTGTCTTCTCCCTCACACACAGGTTCTGGGAAGAGAACGTGTTGCCGATTTTCACTGACCAGTAACACTGTGTTCTGTGTCCTTTATTTTGTGCAAGTGACTGGAAGCTGAGTGGTTACTGTCTTAAGGAGGTTGTAGAAAAAAAAAAATATGATTTTCATAGTGTATTCAGAAGATAAGCCTCCTCTTAGTGGTAGAGTATATTCTTCTATAACTAAAGATTAGGCTAAGATGATGAAACACTTTTATTTTCTCTGTGGTAAGCAATTGTTTTTACCAAGTCTAGAACAGCTGCTTTGGATAGATTGTGTTTGAAGCATTGTCCATGCTTCTGAAGAAGTCTTCCTCATTCTTGACTTGAGATCCTCACAAAGTGCCCAGATATTTTTTGTTCCTAGCTGATTGTTCTGACAGCCTAAATGTATCTTCCATCAGTATTTTTCCATGAATTCATCCACCATCATCTGATGTTGTGTATCCCAGAAAGGGTACTCCTGACCTTTTTCTATGGGATCCAAATCATAGTTTACAGTATGTATGGCTATGATACCAACCTGGAAAAATAATCAGATTTAGGATATTAATTATCACTGTGCTCACAGTTTCAGATTAAGTCAGTAGTTGCATTGGTACTGGAATCAGTGACAGATCTCACATTTATAAAAGCTGCTATCTCTATTCCTTTGCTGTAGTTCTTAGTAAAAATCCTGGAGGATCTACTTTGGTGGCTCTCTTGGGGTCCAGTTTTATTATATGCTGGTCTTGGTAGTGAAACTGGCCTAAAAAGCCCCGTCCGTCATGAGTTGTTCATCTTCATCCAGAAGATGTGTCAACACGGGGTTTTGTGTCCATGTTATAAACAAGTTCATGAGTCCACCCAGGTGAAAAATTCACCCTTTTTAGGCTTTTTTGATTTTCACCATTCTTATTGCAGTGATGCAGTAACAGCAGTTATCTCAAAACAGCTGTATTAGCACGTGTTGCTGGCCTGAGACTCAGGATTGCCCACATTTACATTATTGGCAAAGATGGTGTAGTGTGAAATTACAGCCTTGACATTAGACATGGCTATGATCAAACGACGACTTTTTGGAGGAAGTCCTGATCCTACTTTGAACAAATAGATTTTCTACAAGCAATTTAACTGATTTCCACGGTCTTACTTAATGCAGTCTTAGAAGTTGCCCATATGAACACCTGGACTCACTTGTTTTCTCTGCCTCTCATCACCTCTGTATAAAACAGCCGTCAGGTCATTTATTTTGATCTATTTAATATTCTCCCTGAAGAAAAATATTGCTAACAGTGTACAGCACACAAAGCCTGACTTCTCTTGATTTGATAACCAGGTTACATGTATGTATGTCATACACTCTGTTATGATCCAGATTTCCTCATAATTATGTCATTTGAAATGACTGTATATACATGCTGTAGGTTTCTTCACGAACCTGACAGATTTCTTTGCATAATTTATTGCTGCCTTTAAAATAATGTTTATGAACACACTGAAGTGTGCATTAGCTCTAATGAGTTGTCTTAATATATTGAGCATGTCAAGGTCTGAGTTCAGTTCTGTGTTCTTTGGCTCACTACCTGAGATAGGGATTTTTGTGAAAACAGAACATTTGCTTCTTAGAGCTTTGTAACTTTTTGAAACATTTAGTAGGAAGTCCATACTAAATTATGGGTTATGACAAAGAATATCAGCAGCCAAAATCCTTTGTGAAGAGCAGAGCTAGCAATAAATGCTTTTTCCCTATCCCGTTTCCAATTAGTAGTTCTGTGAAGTAAAGAAACAAGTAATTATATAAGGTTAAATAATTTCTTCTCCTTCTACCTGGAAAGCACTCCAAAGACAATATTTGCTTCTTGGTTTGGATTGCAGTTTAACACTACATCTTTTTATATCACTTCATTTTACAGCTAAAGATCTAGGTAAAGGCTTAAATCTAGGCAAAGATCTGTGATAAGTAGGTAACTTGTCCCTTTTGTTAAGTGTATGTATTCATGACAGAAATTAAATGGTTGTGTCATGGAAGCAAATGTAGAGAGTTACAGGTAATAGAGCATCTTTCAAATGCAATTAAATGTGCCTCTGTCAACTACAGGCAAGATTTGCAAATGTGAAGGTTTCTGCCATCAGTCATAGAAATGAGACAGTTTTACTCCCAGCAGAGGATTGCTGGACATCACTGAATCTTGCCCTTAGATTTTTAAATGCAAGATGGAATCTGGTAGAGTAGCCAGTTTTACTGAAATTTCAGACTTTGTCCTGAGCACATCTGTCTCCATGTGACTGTTTGTTACAATATTGGAAACTTTATGTTTTTTCAGAAGTGCAAAATTTGCAACTTTCTCATTAATTTATATGGTGAACTATGTGGAGTTGTTTGCCCACACTGAATTCTGTTATCTTGTAGGTTATCCCTTTCTTCCTTTTTTCCTTTTTTTTTAAGAAACAAGAGGACAAGTACACTAAACTGCCCTTGACCTTTAAACTGTTTTGTGAAGGGCCGCTGTAGTTGGGCAAGTGGCTTGCTCCCAGGGCTAATTGCTTTTTAGAATTAACAGGTTTCATACTATATCACATGAGCAGAGTGTGAGAATGGCACTTGGTCAGTGTAAAGGGCCAGGCTGCTTTGGGATCTTGTCTGTGACAGGGACTAAACAGATGCTGAGGGAAGACTATTGTGTAGTGATACTTCTCCAGGCTATTCCTCAGCAATTTGTGGCTCAGGGACTTCTTGACCCAGTAGTGGTGGATGTCAGCTTAACAGGTTCTGATGGAATCCTTCTCCATAGATTTCAGCTCAGCCTCATGTTTGATTCCTAGTTCCAGTGCCAGTATGTGATCATCTTTACGTCATCATTACTGTCTTGTACACACGAGAAGATTTCTCAATAAACTTCTTTGGTGTTCTACTTTTCTCAGTCCTTCTGCAGAAGTTATGTTTTCTGCCTTTTGTTTGCTTTCCTTACAAATCTCTCCGGTTTTGGATGTATAATGACCAAAGTGTGGTGCAGTACTCCAGACTAACCTCAGCAGTGCAGAGTACAGAGTAATAATCACCTCCCATAAAACACCAAACCATTCAAATATATTTGAGTCATATAGAAAGAAAAATCCTTTTAGATCTTTTAGCCGTAGCTGTTAGGATGGAAAATGAAAATATTTGGTCTGATGGAGGAGAAATATTTATTCACTGTCAGCGGGATTTGGCTGGACAATGTTTTTCTTTGTTAACAAAACAAAAAGTTGTTAAAACAAAATGATCTCCCAACAGCTGCCACCTGGTCTAACACAAACTAAAGATGCCAAACAACACTTGTTTAAATTTCAATTTGACTTTTCAGAGCTTTTTTGGTCTCTGATGCAAAATATATTATCACACAAGAAACATGGCAGTGGATATATGGATATCAGAGATCAAACCAAAGGCCTCTCAACTAAAGGCTAATTTTTAAAATGCTTGGTGGTGTGCTTTATTCATTTTCTCATTATATTTAATTCCCTCCTGTATATGTGTTTATTTTGCCACCTGGGATTTTAAGTGCTGAAAGATACATTTGATTTATTCGACTTGGAAATTTGTGCAGAAATCAGATAAGAGGTAATGGTAGTGTGTGGTAAGACACAGTCATAGCAAGGGGTGAAATCTACCTCCCATGAACTTTCCTTTCTAGGTGGATAAAGCAATGTGGCTTGAGCTGCAGCTGGATATGAAACTGTTCTTGTTGTGCTGCCTTCCCTTTCACACTGCTGTGGCTCAGGTTATTGGCAGCTTATCAGAACAGAACTTGGCTCAACAGGGTGTTAGCCCATGTTACACTTTCTGTATCGATCACTGAAAAAGCGACTACAATTTAGTAGACAAGGAGAAGGTTTCTCTGTTACAAAGTGGCTTATTGTAAAAGGGTTGAATGGGACCAAAACTTGAATATTTTCATGTGATCAGCATATTTTGACCCTTGTACCTTCTCAGCTTTAAATCTTAAAGGCCTCATGGACCTTCGGTTTAAAGTTTGCTTTAGAGGATGAAGTTCTATGACAGCTTAAATCACTTCATGGCCATGAAATCCCAGTCCCTCATCTAGGCTGGCTTTTGTAAGCACTCAGTGATCTAGGATATGGGTAGGACTGGAAGTGCATCAGTGCTTTAACTTGCAGCTGGCTTCCTCAGTCCTGATGAGGCTGATGCCACTCATTGTTTTCCTCACTAATTTTTTTTCCTTTTATTCTAGAGGCGTAGGCTGCCCTAAGACCATTTGTGTCTTATTCCCCAAAGTTTCTAGGAACTGTTTATGATACTGCCAGTAAAACTGAAATTATTGTGCATGTTTTTTCCTACTTACTCATTTCACCCTTCTGGACCCTTTGACACCCATGGTCTTCTCCTTTTACCACCACTCAGGTTCAGATTTTAAAATAGCACACAAATTCTTTTTACATGTATTTGTAACAGAAATAACTAAATCTAGAGTTGTGTACTGACTTTCTCACTTGAGAACTGAAACAGACAACAGGCACCATAATGGGGAGCATACAGTCAAAACAGAAATAATGTATAGCAGCTCAAATTTATACCACACTCTTGGTGTATATTGACTTTTATAAGTAATTCTGGCTTACTGAAAAACATTTTAAAGTTGCATTTTAAAAATAACTGCAATTCTATAACAAGGTCCCAAAATAAGCGTCATAAGTTGGCTTGATTTGTGCTCAAATCTTAATATTTAAAGATTGCTTCCTGACCTTCCAGCTGCATGGATGAGAAGTGAAAATAATCTCAGATTTCCAAAAGAGAGAGTGACCAATCCTTTCCGTTATTTTGTGCTATTAAAGAAAGGTCCATTCCTAAACAAACAAAAAGAAAAATGTCACTGCTTAATATCTTCAATAGCCATTACTGACAGAGAATCATGCATTTGATCTCAATAGAAGCACCATAAATGCAGGCTATTTATAATGTTTGATATCTGTGTTTCAATAATAATAATAATAGGCTTTAACTGTATTATGGGATGAAAGCCAGAAATGTACAAACTGTCCGGTAGATCTTTCATCCAAAGGCACAGCTGGTGAAATTTAAACAAGTTCGTGTTGGCTGTTCCTGCACTGCTCAGTATGATGTTGCAGTCCAAGCTTTTCATGTCCCAGCGTGGATGTTCACGGGTGGTCTGCAGACACCTGTGTGCTTGAGCTCTGCAAAGCTTGCAGTGATCACAAAACAGAGCTGAAAGAAACCTAAATAGGAACAGGATGCTTCACAAGCATTTTGGATTTATTGTCTGTCTTCCTCTGTTGCAGCATCCCTGTCATATGCAATCCCACTCGTGAAATTTTTCCTTCCCACTTTCACAGGCCACACAAACCAACTGGGGAGGATTTTATATTTTATTTCTCACCTATGGGACTATCTGTAATGCACCAGGTAAGTTATCCACAACTTAAACATTAGTGACCAAACTGCAAAAGATGGGGCCTGGAGAAGCTCTTCTGGTCTGACCACTTCTGCAAAGGGTTCTCCTGAGGTGGGAGACCACAGGAGTGCTGAGCTACGTGCAATGACTCTGCAGGTGTCTTTCAAAGCTCCAGTTTTTACTAAGTCTGTCCTTTTCTCTGATTCTCTCTCTTCCCTCTTAGCTGCCTTCAGCTCTTCTCCAGTATTCTCTTGCCAACTGCTGAGGAATTTGGCCACTTTTTTCCTTCAGTTCTGAGGCCTTTGTCTAAACTTTATGAAATTATAGGCTAGAGGGAATCCACACCAAGGTGCTGCTGTGCATTCTCAGTCATAAACTCATAAACAGAAGGGTTCTTAGGGCTGGTGCAATGTCTTTCCTGACATTCCTTCCAGGAAGCTCTGACCTACATTTCAACCTGGCCTCCTATTTCTTCCTGGACTTCAGAACATTCACTCCCAGGAATTTCCTTCCCTCCTTAATGATTGTAAGATGCTAATGCCTCCTCAGCCAGACTGCCCCTCAAACACGTGTTCCTCATTACATGAGCCTTACTTTTTCTTTCCCACAGGAGGGTGGCACAGTTATGGCTGAGTCTGCCTTCTCCTAAACAAGTTTGCTGCTTTCAGCAGTAGGGGCTGAACATGTACTGTCCAGCTGCTGTGTCAATGTGCTTTAGCTCCCCAGCTGCCTGATCTTGAGCTCAGGAAGCACTGGGATCTAGCAGTTGTGCTTAAGCCTTTCCCACTGGTAAAGAGCATGTGTTTTCAAAATACAAGTATTACTAAATCTCCCTGAATTGAACCATTTTGAATTTTTATTGAGGAGCATAAACAAATTATTTCTTAATTTAAGGGGTTTGAATAAGCTTTATAAATATATATATGTGTGTGTGTATATACATATCTTTCAATGTAGATATATATATATATACACACACACACACACACATATATATATATACACATATATACATATATACACACATGCACACCCCTTCATTATGTAAATGTGTATTGCCACATATCCCATTGCAAGGTTTGTCTAGCAAAGAGTTTGTATTTTTTTCATAGCAAACTATCCAGTTACTTACTTGAAAGGTAAAAAAAACCTTAATTCTTGTTATCCAAAGGCAAAAGAATTGTATTCTACCAAGCAAACTGTGGAAGTATTTCAAACCTGATTTTACATCTTTTATAGAAAAGCTGCTTCATTTTGTTTTCACTTATCAAGTCTTTGCACCTGAGCTGCTGTGAGTGTCTGTATGGCCATTTGCCCTGTCTTAAACATGTAAACAATACATGTTCCTCAACATCTCCTGCCTGCTAAGTCTTAACATTTCCCAAAACAGGGCCTAAAGGCAGCATAGACTGCCAAGGAACCACAGGGAAGGGAAAGAAAAGAATCTTGATAAGCTGCTGCTTAATTAGCTAATAAATGAGAGCTAAAATGTAAGAGGAAATGTTCAAAAGAACAAACTGCAGCAAGAGACTTCTGGCAGGGCTACAGAGGGAAATCACATGATACATTCTGAAGTTTGCAGACACTGGGAAGGATCCACAGTTTCTTGTCCATGTGGAGACAGGAAACGCTCACCAGACTTGTAGTCTTCAGCAGCTTTTTTAAAAAAAGCCTCTATTTTATCTATGTTTTGTTTCCACAGAAAGACTTGCTGCTTTCTGTACTGTGTGCTCAAGCTGTGTGTAATCAATCTCTGCATCTCTTCCTTTAAGTTCTGTGTGAAGTCAGTCTCCTTCCTTCCACTGCACTGAAAACCTGTGTGTTTTGGCTCTGGAGTCTCCCCTGCACCCGCCCTGCCCGTTGCTGATGCTGCTTTAAACGGGGTTCATTCGATCAGCCCCAAGGAGGTTTAGATCAGCAGGTCCTTAAAGCAGGTATGAAGCCTGGGGGCTGGCTGTGCTAGGGCTCCAAGAACTCCAGTTCTGGGTTGGATGTAGGCAGTAACAGGAAGACATTCCTGGATGCTGACCTTTTGTTGTGATAGGGTTTCCTGCCTATGATATTTTCCCAAATTATTTTGTTTCTCTTTTTTGTACTTTCATTTATCTCCATTCTTTTCCCCATGGATACACAGAACCTGAAGTCTTCTTTACATATTTAATCGTGTACATCACTAGGATTATTTTTAGGCCATTTTAAAATTTATGCCTGGGTTTCCCCAGTTTCAGAAGTAGCTTTACCTCAACTGTAATGCTATAACCACTTTTAAAGACTTCTTGGTTGCTATTATTTCTTCAGCATCTGTAATAAAATTCTGCCTCACTAATGCCTGTATCATTTTTCTCTTTATCCTGTATCCCTGACAGTTGCCTAGGTGGAGTGGATGTGGCTTATCCATCCTCCAATTAGTAATGATTGAATGGAATGCTTATACAGGGATGCAAAAATGCTGTATGAGCACTTTGCTTGATTTTTTATGCAGAATTTTATTTATAATTCCA